ATGTCAACCGTCATCTATGAAAAGGTACCCCACCAAAGAATCGAGTTAACATGTCTTATATACTAGTAAATTATAGTTGTAATTTCTGTAGTGGTAGTTACGCTACAGTACTCGCACACCGGAATTATATCTGTGATAGAATTCGATGAATGGATACCACTAGTTGAATCATTGCTGTTTTTGTGCGAAACCGGGAGAGCTGTATTAAGATCACCGTACTTTATGAGTGCTGAATGTGAGAGGTGTATTAACTTCACGGTCGTAGTCGCTCCTGTGTTGCCTTTAGCAGTCGAGTGTATGCAAGCCGGCGTTGTGGGTGATTGAGAAGAGACTGAATAGCAACAGTGCGAGGAGGTGGATAAAGTCGCAGCCACAAGTAGCAAGTCAACTATTCAATGTGGACTATCCATCGATGTAGGCGTGTTCACATCACATCCGAAGGTCACCAATGTGGGTATAGTAGTTATCGACCATGTCAACTGTCATCTATGAAAAGGTACCCCGACATAGAGTCGAGTTAACATGTCTTATATACTAGTGAATTGTAGTTGTAATTTTGCAGTGGTAGATACGCTACAGTTCCATGATAGAACTCATATTCGAAAATAACTCGAATTTTTGTTTTATCCATGGCTTACAATATTTAACCTCCAGACGACAATACGATAGACTATTAAAAACAAAAAAGTGCATCTGAAAGCCAGGTGGCGTACCTTCTCAATGCAAAAAAATAAAGGACGATCAAAGTGAAATATCGGAGACATCTGGTATCAAACTTGAGGCTTTAGGTAATCTGATATTTCATACTTAATGACCCAATATGTTTTAATGAATTTTAGTGTGACTATGCGCAAAACTAATGTGTTGTTAGTTTTGTGACAACTATTATAGATGTAATTATAACTAATAAAAGCAAAAATAAAATAAATTAATACATATTATAAATTATTTATATTTTTTATTAAACAATTTTTAAAATTGTCTATTTCAAACAGTTAAACAAAAATCATTATTTGGCTTTCTGAATTTTCGATAGCATTCTTAAAAATAAGCTCTTTTAAAATTTTGAAAATATTAATTTATTTGAAAGAATATTATCCTAAATATTTTAGAGGGATGAATTAAGTTTGTTAAAATATTTTTATTAGACAGTTTAAAAAAATTAGTCATTGTATATATTGTATTATTTTAAGGAAAGAACATAGATTTTTTTTATCTTTTTGATTTATTTTGTCTTTTGTTTAAATAAAATTTCCACTCAACATTCCGTTATTATTATTAACCTTTTGAACAGGAGAAATGCCTATTTTTATACTACCCCAATCTGAGAAGTGCTACCAGGATTTATCTGATAGAATAGCGTAATCGTAATTTTACTTCAATGTTTTGTTAATTTTTGAATTATAATGTACAAAATGGTCCATTATTTTCTCTCAGGAACGATGCTTTTTAAATCCCTTGTATTGAAACTATATTTGTTTTAGGTCTAATTTAAATTTCTCTCGTTGATCAACATAATCCGTTTTTTATTACTTATGCTTAGTTTACTTTGAAATTTTTGATTGTAAATAAAAAGTGGTAAAATTTACTTTACTCTGAAAATGTATTTTAGCAAGTTAGCTTTATAGTTTATGTTTTCGCTCTTTCTCGTGTAGATTCTCTAAAAAGGAATAAACTCTTTGCCTTTATTTCTCCTTAGCTAGTGCAAAGTTGGCGCGTCCCGCAGTGGAATGATCGTTAAGACACGGTTCCCAGCAGATCACCGAAGTCAAGCATCACTGGCTACGGTCAGTGTGCGGGTGGGTGACCACTTGGATCAGTCTGCGTAGGGACCGAGGGTGTGCGGTATTGGTCCTCGTCAGGGTTGGGGTTTTGTCGTCAAAAACTGGTTTTTGACATGACAGTGGTAAAAACCGTGTTTTTACCGGTGAAAACTGTCAAAAACCTACTGTTTTCGTTAAGTTATGGCATATAGCGGACAATATATTATTTTCACACAGTTGCCTTTATAAATGAATGTTGTAAATGATTGCTATTGATTTTGCAACTATATACATGTATTCTTATAGAAGGATATACATTCATAGAGTAATATTGTAATATACTTATTGAAAATAGTGATACTTACTTTTATCATTATAGCTTGATTTGCAAATGATTCAAAATTTTGCACTTCTTAATTGTTAGAAATAAACAAACAAACAAAAAAGCTTGGAACTATTAATAAATTCAAGAACTAAAAAGAAGAATTTAAAATTTGGCATTTCTTAAATATTAGAAATAAGCTAAAATAAACTTTCAAAACTTGTAACTACTAACAAACTCTAAGTCAAGAATTACTGCTATTTTGTCAAGTTAAAAGCTTTTATTCAGTTGAAGAAGCACATTAAGTAAAACTTAATTACAAACAAAATTACATGTTCAGTAGTCGGGATCACTGTGCCAAAGCTTACAATAGCAAGTGACTAATTTTGAGCATTTTTCATTGCCCAGTCGATTTCTGAGTAGTCCAAAATTCGAGAAGATTCTTTCAATGGAAGACCACCAGTCTAGCTCCAAGGACGCCTGTCATTGAGGATAATGATAACAAAAGGTTATTGCAATGTTGCAAAGAAACTCTAAAAGGATTTCCCAGGCTTTTTCATGTCTCATTTCTGTGTAAAATATTGAAAACAAAAATGATAAGAAAAGTTAAGAAAAGTTTGAGGCTTTCTTTTTATGTGTACATGTGTTTCTCAAAGCAAGATTTTATGAATGAAAGTAATCAACCTTGACATTCTTCAGTAATGTAATATTGCCAAACGAAGTGATGCTTGGAAATGTTGAAAATTTTTTTAATATCCTAATATTTTACTTCAAATAGTATGTTTTGATATAAACATGTTGGGAAAATGCAAGAATCTGTTCTTAAATATCTTTTAACAACTTTTTTTCTAATTTTATTGGCCAAAAATTAATTAATTTTAAATTATAAGCAGTTAAACTCAAATAAAAATACAGTTTTACCAAAACTATGGGTTTTTGACAGAGGGGTTTTTGACATGACGGTAAAAACCATGGTAATAACCGGTAAAAACCATCATGTGTCAAAAACTTGCCAACCCTGGTCCTCGTTAAACTGTGATACCGTAAAGCGCTCGACTACGCCCGCAGGTCGTCGGGCTACTGAAGCGGGGGTGCCATCCCCTCTGCAGAGGATCAAAATTGTGATGGCATGTCTTCGGATCATCCTCCAAGATGTTTTCCAGACCGTCGCCAATAGCCCATTGTGCAGCTCTAGTGCGACGTAAATTAACAGCAACAACAACAATAAAGTTGGCACAAATCCCTTACATTCACCTGAATTCACTGTCTAGGCATTTTAACTCTTTCGTTACTAGCGCCGTAATTAACCAGCATACACGTGATGCATAGCGTGGATGCATCAATCCACGCTATGCACTGCGTGTACAAGCGCTGTTTTTAGCTAGCATCCACGCTGTGACCCGTCTGTACGAGTGCCGTATTTAGTTAGCATCCACGCAATTTGTTTGTACAAGCACTGTATTTTGCCGGCATTCCACGCAATGAAGTTTGCGTACGAGAGCCATATTTAGCAGGAGTCAGCGCAATACTGTTTAATATAATCTGTTCAATCTACTTCAAACAGATACTGGCTAATATTCCATTGACATTTATTTGGTTAATGCCACCGAAAGTATATTTTGAGTGCGGCGCTTAATATGTTAAAGTCAGAAAGACATTTTTCTAGGTAAATTCGCAAAGATCGGTATAAAGAAAAGAGAAAAAATTAGAAAGCGGTGCTGTTAGCAGTGCAAACGATAAAATTTGAGAATCTAAGTATGAGATAAACTATAATGCAAGTTTGTGTTAACTCAAGTCTGAAAATATATCATACTGAATTAGATGACCTGGGTTTTTAAAAAATTATCTCAAATTGCATTTTTATTCATTATACTTTCAAAATCTCAAAATATCATCTCAAATATATGAATATCAGCATACCGATATGCAAAGGGCACGCTTCGCTCCGCATTGCAACGTTTAATAACGTCATTTCAACGGAGTGTACTGCCGTAACGAAAGGGTTAATATCATACCAAAAGAGAGGCTTTTCAGACTATTGTCAGCTGTCCATCTTCTCAGATCTGTGAAATATTATGACATCGTAAAACACAAGTTTTTTTTTAAATAATTTTTTTAATAAAATATGATCTTTCCCTTTTTTATTTTCAAAAATATGAGTTAGAACCTTGTTCCTCTAAACTCTTCATTTAAAAAATAAGTTAATCATATTGAAATTGTTGAATTTTTATTGTGTATATTCTGCTTTTTAAACATATTTTACTTTTATTCTAGATCAATCTTCAGAATTTTTTAGTGAATATGGAAGTGGAAGAAGAGCGATACTAAATTGGTGGAAACTATTCTGAATAACGAAATTTATTCTTTAATTATGTATCACAAGTTATATACTATTCAGTTTTTGAAATATAAACCTTGAATAGGCACTACGTTGCATGGTAAATTGTTCACTCAGATAGCAATCTGCGTGAACAATTTCCCATGCTGCTAAATGCTTGTTCAGGGATTATTTTCTTTCAGTATCATATCTTATTTTTTTGAAAAAAACATGTTTTGTTCTCTTGTAAATACTTTGAATTACTATCAATTTATATTCTTTTTCTCTGTCATATTCTGTAATTATCATGTGTGTAAAATCATTTTGAATGTAGTTGAATAGGAAGAATTTAAATTCATAACAAATTATATCAATAATATTTCAGAACAAGTTGGAATATTTTGCAATATTTCGTCTCTTTTCTTCCTTTTTTTTTGAGGAATTGTAATTTTTGATAAAATGTCTGAGATTTTTCAAATAGTCTTTTAGTTTAATTTTGAAATAAATTTTAGTTTAAAAGTTTATTTTGATAAAACTAACAATTTTATAATAACACATGAAAATATTTGAATGTTGATTGCCAACTCAATAATTCAAGTTGTGTATTTATTTTATTGAACCTATTTTTATTATGCCTTCAGTGTATTGAATTGTTTGTCTGTATTTAAACATGTCTTATTAAGTAACCTTAATTGTCATTTCTTTTGTAATAAATACATTTAGTAAATTTGTTCAAAAAAATAAAATATGCACTATTATTCGTATCTTAGCTATTTTTTAATGTAAGGAGTTTTACTGGTTTTCACTTTTTTAATTTAAATGTTTTTTCTTTTAACTTTAAAAAAAAATGCATATCCATATATTTTTAGAGTGAAATATTGATTCATAAAATATTATCTGTTTAACCAAAAAATGAAGAAATTTTTCTTGTTTCTCTTTTGAGAAGATAAAAAATTGATCAATATCTTCGGAATGAATTATTAATTTGAATAATTCATGTTTTATGAATGAATCTAGTTTAACATCGGCTAAGAATTGGCAGTACATTTACAAAAGAACGAAAGGTGAAATTTTTACTTGAAATGTCTTTTGCTGCACTAAGCAGGGATGTGATTCTTCCGCGGATTCGCGGATTTCCGCTTTCTTTTTTCAGATTTTCCCATTTTTTCCGCGGAAATTTTTTTTGGTACAAGTTAAAATATTTTAAGAAGAATTTAATTTTCCACGGAGCGAAAGTATTGAAGTCCTCATTCCTCCCTCTGAAGCTTCTCTAAAAATCATTTCCCTGGAAAAAACCGATTTACCTTTATACAGGGATGAGATTTTTTTTGCTTTTGCCTTTCGAATTTCAGCCTTTTTTTTTTATCAAAATTTCCGATTCTCTAAAAGTCGTTTTTTTATAAATATCCCGCTTTTTTTTTGAGAATTTAGACGTTGAAATAAAATAATTATATTTATTTACGATTTTCAAAGGTAAACAGAAAATTGAAACTACGTCCTAGCTGTTAACCCTTCCGTATTTTTACTTATTTTAGCTATTTTCTCCGCTTTTACGCATAGAAAATAAGACTTTTCGTATTTTTATTCGTCCGTATGGCTCGTATTTTCGCAATTCAAACGATTGACCCTGTTGTCTAACGTGAAAGCAAACGATAAAAAAAAATAGAGGTGGATTTGCGGTGAAAATATTTATTTGCTCATTCAATTAATCTTGTAAATGTTTGTTTATTATGTCTAAATAAAAACAATACAGACAAGCCTTTTAGAAATCCCAAGTCCAGACTCTGCAAATATCTCGATTCTTATCCACGCGATTTTAATATCAATCATCGATTTTCGTGCTTACGTGATTTAAAAGTTGCGCATTGCGATTCTTATTCAGGCGACTTAAATATCGTACATTGCGATTCTTATTTACGAGATTTAAAAATCCAATATCGCGATTTGTATTTACGCGCTTTTAAAACCCTATGTAGCGATTCGTATTCACGCCGGCTTAAAATCCAATGTCGTGATTCGTTTGTGCGATTGTAATATCAAACATCGATTTTCGTATTTATACGTGCTTTAAAAATTAGACATTGTGATTTGTATTCACGCGATTTAAAAATTATGCATCGTGATTCCTATTTACGTGATCAAAAAATTACGCTTCATGATTTGTATTTTCGCATTTTTTAAAATTCGATATCGAGTTTCATATTCACGTGATTTAAAAGCCTCATATTGAGATTCATATTCTCTCTATTTAAAATCATGCATGTGATTCATATTCATACAATTTTAAAATTAATCATCGGAATTTATAATCACATGACTTACAAGTTTAAAAGTCGCAACTTTTTTGTCAAATTTTTGTATATATATATATTCATTCTTGGATTTCCTCTTTTTTTACTTTCTGACTACTCTCATCCCTGCCTAAGGATTACATGAATTTCGTTTCATCTTCAGTAAAATATACTACCTTTTTAAAAATTACAGATTTATTTTGATTTAAAAATGTGTAAATTACTACAAAATGAGTTACAGCATAAAGGCAAAGAAAAAAAAATCGTCATGATATAATGAAATAATCTTTCGATGTTAAAAATTCTAAACTTGAAAACATTTACATTTCTACATTTGAAATAGAAATTTGAGGAAGCAAAGTAATTTTGTTCGTACGTTTATAATTGATCTTTATTTATAAAAATAAAAAGTCTGCCTTAGTGGGTGTTCGTCAACTTAGCTGGATTTTTAGGCAAACGGTGTCGCTTACAGAAAAGTGTTGATTGCCAACCTGAAGGTACCACCTCAATCCAATTATCGTATATGCCATAAGAATATCGATGTCTGGTTTTTATTATAAGAAAAGAGGAAATCTACTTGATTCTTGCAATATTATATATATTAAAAACAGCACATGCTTCCCAAAATCGGAAGACCGGGTTCAACGAGTTCGCTCATTTCAACAAGGTGCATTAAATCATCTTCAGCTAGTTTAAGTTTCTTAAAAGCTTTTTTTTTTAATAAGTTTTAAACGGCTTTATTCGATTTACCTGGCTCACAAAGTGTTGAGATATAAATCTTATGAGATGAAATCTGATTACGGTCGTGGTTGCGAGTGGTATATATCGTTTGTTTCAGAATTGAGATATCGATGGATGTCGTGTGAGAAAAACGCGATGGCCATATTTAAATCAAATTTTGCTCTGAGTTATTTCGATATATTTAAATTTTCTTTTTTGGAATTATAACAATTATATGTCTTTTTTTTTGTATTTTAAATGATTAATTTAGATTTATAAACCAAATAAAGTTTAAATTGAAAGGTTTTACAAAGGGACTTATAATGTGACATCGACGGGAATCGTACATACAGTGTCGAATTTCTCCGATATTTGCAATGTCGGATGATGTGTATTAAGGCTATTTCAATATCCCTGTGCTACTTGCGAAAATGTTCTTTTTTTGTGGAAAATATCGACATTTAAAAAGAAGATAAATGAGAAACAATCACGGAGGTAGGTGGGCGAACCTTGTTGATTTATAAAAAATATCTTAATAATGGAATATTTTTTAATAAAGAAAAAACTGTCATTTTATTCAGTTCAGAACATTGTAATAGCTTCACTAAGAATAGGAAAAAAAAAAAAAACAATGAAAGCAAATGTTCTGTTCGAGCTGAATTAAGCAAAATTTAAATTCATTGAAATCATATAGAGTGAACCGCTATTGTAGGCGATGGGAGATATTGCTGAACAGATAGATGTAATTCCAAATTTATCAATTTTAATTTTTATTCATTCAATATGGAATAAATAAAGATGCATTACATTTAAAAATTCGATTTTCAAGTATCAATTTAAATTATGCAATTTAAAGTTATATTTTATTATTAACACTGAGATCTGGCATGTTTTCTAAAAGCCCGATTTCTAAGAAGAACTTTTAAAAAAAACTTGCCTAGTAGATAATACAGGGTGTTTATAAAGTCCCGGACCCATTTTGATGTTTAATGAGTCATAAAATAATAAAGATAGATTAAAATTAATAACATAAATGGTTAGATAGACTCAAAAAGTTTCATGACCCTTGTCAATGAACTTCCACGTGTGCCCCCTTCGTCGCACGAATAATATCAAGTCGGTAGTTAATTTCACTCCAGGTAACGGCAAGCATGTCGGCATCCACAGAGGCTATTGCGGTTGTAATTCTGGCTTTTAGGCCATCAATGTTCGACACGATCCTCCTGTAAACATTATCCTTTATAAATCCCCAAAGAAAAAAGTCCAGCGGAGTAAAATCAGGTGATCTGCGTGGCCAAGGAATTGGACCTCCTCGCCCAATCCATCTTCCTTTCAAAGAACTACGAACGATGATACCCCAATGAGGTGGTGCACCATCTTGTTGCAAAAAGACATGTGGCTGAAGCTCTTCTAGTTGTGGAAATACGAAGTTTTCCAACAAGTAAGTATACGACTGATGAGACCGTCTTTTCTGTAAAGAAGAAAAGCCCAATGACTCAGTCGTGCATTAGTCCACACTACTCCCTTGGGGAATCCCTTTGTGTTTCACGGTATTCATAGGGGTTTTCAGATCCGGATATGCGCACATTATGGCGATTAACAATGCCAGAAGCATGAAAGGATGCTTCGTCGNGGAGGGAAACAACTCAACTCAACTCAGCAGCAGGAGGGAAACAACTCAACTCAACTCGACGGCACCTTCGGCACCGTCGGCGCAGAAACGGCAAAAAGTAACTACTGATATAAAAGCAAAATAAAGTTTAAATTGAAAAGTTTTACAAAGGGACTTATAATGTGAATTTCTCCGATATTTGCAATGTCGGATGATGTGTATTAAGGCTATTTCAATATCCCTGTGCTACTTGCGAAAATGTTCTTTTTTTGTGGAAAATATCGACATTTAAAAAGAAGAACAAAACGATGAATGAGAAACAATCACGGAGGTAGGTGAGCGGACTTAGTTGATTTATAAAAATATATAAAAAATATCTTAATAAGGGAATAATTTTTAATTAAGTAAACACTGTCATTTTATTCAGTTCTGAACATGGTAATAGCTGCCTCACTAAGAGTAGGTAAAAAAAACAATGAAAGCAAATGTTCTGTTCGGGCTGAATTAAGCAAAATTTAAATTCATTGAAATCATATATAGTGAACCTCTATTGTAGGCGATGGAAGATATTGCTGAACAGATAAATGTATTTCCAAATTTATCAATTGTACTTTTTATTCATTCAATATGAAATAAATAAAAATGCATTACATTTAAAAATTCGATTTTCAAGTATCAATTTAAATTATTCAATTTAAAATTATATTTTAATATTAACACTGAGATCTGGCATCTTTTCTAAAAGCCCAATTTCTAAGAAGAATTAAAAAAAAAAAAAACTCGTCTAGTAGATGTATAATAATTGATTGTGATTTTCATTTAATCGTATGAAATTCTAAATATTGTTATTAGGAAAATTTTAGTTATAATAATTACATTTCAATTTCTTCCTGCATCATTAGAATTAAATTTAATTTTCTGAAATGAGAATTGAAATAATAAATTTTAACGAACATTTTTGACCAAATTATTGATACAACTCTATCAAGGATTTAATTAATTCGTTTTATGCTTTTAATTAGTTTTTTGAACAAAATTTTGTTTCAGATAAATAAATTTTGTTTCGAATTTGTAAATAATTAATACAAATTATCGCTGAATGACTTATCATTTTACATTAGCTATATTGAAGGACACAAAACAAGATTTGTATAATGTCACAATATTATTAGCAATTTTGCAAACATAATGCATTTAAGGAAAGTCTTGAACTTTTTATTTTTTTGCCTTATATGATTTAATAATTCTTTACCGGTAAATAATATTTACAAAATGTCTTTAGTTTCTTTCGCGGAGCGTATTCTTGAACTAGGTATTTCTTATTGAATGATGTAATGAGTTGAATCTATCAACTTATTCAATATTATTAAGTTAACGAATTCGCTTGTCGAACTTATGAATAGTTAATCAAAATTATAGCTGATTTAAAAACTTACATTCATTTTACAGTAATAATAATAATAAAGACATTTTCTTTTACGAATACTAGGGGATAAAGCCACTGTTGCTCTTCTACCAAGATGATTGCTTCGCAAAAAACAGTTTTTTCTACGAGAATTACAAAATATACGCACCATAAAATATTTCTTTTTCTTACGCTTGTGCTCTCACTTCCCACTCTTCCAACATTCATTTCTTTAAACTAAATTATAGATTTTGTGTCAAATTTAGTTGGTAAAATAATATGAAAGATCTTGATCTATTTCCCTTATGATTCGATTAAGACCTATTAGTGAACTTAAATTATTTTGCTTAGTAATCATGTTTTTAAAATAACATTTAAAATATGATATTATATAAAATTTGCATTCGCGATCGCAACGAACTATAGGGNTTATGATTCGATTAAGACCTATTAGTGAACTTAAATTATTTTGCTTAGTAATCATGTTTTTAAAATAACATTTAAAATATGATATTATATAAAATTTGGATGTAATAATGTATAAAATTTGATGAATTCACAACCGTAATTTAATACTTTTGCTAACTAAACATCCGATTGATATATTCAATACAATTTGTGCATGGAGCTGATCGTTAAGTTCTAAATCATTTTAGTAATCCCTTTAACGGTAATTTATCATAGCATATTAATTTACTTTAAACCAAAAACGGTTAATAAGTTTAGACACCAATTTCAATTAGTTTTTCATAAAAGGTAACGTAGTGAGATAATATTATGGAATCACGTTATAATTAAAAAACATCTCTTAGTTTTTAACTCCTAATTTAGAAGAACTTAATAATAGTAAAGTAGGAAAAATAAATATTACAGGTACCTTTAAATTTAGGATAGACAAAATAATAATAAAAAAATTAATAAATAAAAAAAATTACAAGAGTATTTTGCACGAAAACTATTAATTTTATGCTGATGACAACCAAAAAACCTTAAAATTAATGTGGGAAAACTGGATCGTACCATGTGATTTTTCTGGGTAACTGCGACACTATCTTTATTTGTTTATGTATAGTTAGATTACTAAATTATTTTAATGACTTACTCTTTAAAACTTTATTTTTTCTTCTATTTATAAAATTTTAATAATTAATTATAAATAATTTATTTATGTTTGAAGTCAAATTAATAAAGGCACAAAATTTTTCATTTTTTTTTCATTTTCTTCCTTTATTTATAATTTTTTTTTTTAAGTTTTAAAAGAAACTGAAGCTATATGTTTGAAACTAAACTCTTTATTTAAATACTTTTTCTTTTACTTTTTACTGAAACAATCTTAAGATTTGTTTTCATCTTGCATAATAAATAGATAAATTCCTAAACCTGAACTTCCGCGAATGTTAAGTTTTCTTTTTTAGAACCGGTTCATGCCTCTGAATGCTCTTAAGTTCACATAGATTATTTTATAGTTCAAGTTTGTTTTTTTTTAAGAAAAACAAATAAATGAATAAGATCGACGATGTAGATATACTCTCCGAAAATCTCGTTTCTCTTTTTGTTTAATCTAAGTCTTGAAGAATAAAATAATTTTTTATTTGCAATAAACATTTCTTCCGATTCAAAACAGACTGATTAATTCAAATAAAAATGTATGGCCTCAATCATAATCGAGTATTGCCAATAAAAAAAATCAATATGTTGTTGCCATTAAAATTAATTTCATTCGCAAAGTGATGTATTTTAAATTTCTCTTAGAGCAAACGATAAGAAAACTTGTTTAAGTCATGCGCAGGTTGTATTTGTTCTTCTACCCAGAGGGAAGAATAGTTTTTAAAACATCTGTGAATCACGTTTAACTGTATATAAATCGTCTGCAGATGAGAGAAGATCACAACAGAGTAGAGAAGGAATCTTTTTAGAAACTTTTCCTGCAATAATATCAATAAAATTATAATAATTTTTAATATTTGGTTAGAATGTTTTCAGTTATTTTTCCTTTAGGGTTAATTACGTCGTTTTTCTTATTGGTAAGTTTTTTTTTGCTTTGATTTGTTTTAATGTATATATTTTTTACTAAATGCCTTTTTTTTAATTAAATCCAATCCTTCGTTATGAGAAATAGATATGAAACGTGATTCATCTTTGATTTTTTTATCGAAAGTTTAAACAAAAAATAAAGCAAGGAATTAACTTATTTATTAATTTTGTTCAATGAAATTTTCGATGTGAAATTAGTAAAAATATTGTAAATCCCAAGATAATTTTTTGACTTCTTTTATTAACGATAAAAATGAATTTTAATGTATTTTAAATTCTCTATTACAATAGATTTAATTTAAAATATTTCCCACGGATAATTTGCAATTTGCAGATAGTTTTGCTCTTTAAAATTAAAAATAGTCCTTCGGATATAATAAACTCATAGTGTGCATTTAAATTTTAATTAAGTGAAAAGCTTATGTACATAGCGAAATTCAGAATATTATTCGAAATATATATAAAAACATTAATATATTCTAAAGCTTTTGTTGCAATAAAAATGTAATATAAAGGCATTCCACTATATATAAGTATGCAGTTTGCTATTAGTATTGTATTGTATTGTTTCGTATTGTATAAATGCATAATACAATACAAATTATGGCATAAAAATATCATTCTAAATACAATCCACTTTACTATTCCATATTATAAGAAATATAACGCAAGAATTTAAATTCAGATTATAAGCTAATTGCAGTTAATTTAAAATTTTAATAAATGGAAACAAGCTTAAAGTTTCAAGCCAGTTTCAAAATGTTTGAATGAATGAGATAATGCAAGTTATGAAGCTAAAAATGTTCTAAAAACATATATAAACATTTTAATGAATTTTAAAATTTATATGCTAATAAATCTAATTTAAAATTTTTTCTCGGGATATAATAAGCCGGATATAATTAGTATTTGCAGTTTGTTTCAAACTTAAGTAATACTTAAAAACAAACAAACTCAAGTAAGTACAAGAATCCATCCTTTTTGGTAAATACTTTATTCATTTGACTACTTTAAAAATCAGCCTCTAATTTAATGAGCAGTATTTATATTTGTCAAAAAATATACATAAAATAATATTAACCATGGAAAATAATTAATTTCAACTTTATACTAGCACGGTTACATGAATTTATTAGTTAGCTTTGCGTTACAAACCGATTATAAATTTTTCATTCATCAGTTCCATTTGATTTTTTTCCCTTTTGTTTAGATATTTTATGCAACAAAAAAATACCTTAAAAAGATTCTTTATCAGCTTAAGTAAGAATATTTATAAAATAAAAATCACATAATTTTCCTTTTTTAATATTACGTATAATAATTTATATAAATTTTAAAAAACTACTACTTTCCATTCTGATATAAACTATCTAAAATAATTAACTTGAGATTATTATCATACTTTAAAAAGCAATTCTTGAATGATTATATCATAGTTTTATTCACGTGGTTTACTAATTTTATGTAATGAAATAATGTAACATTTGATTGGAGAATTTTCGTCAGGTAATATAATTATACGTTATGAATAAAATTATACGTATGAATAAAATCATACGTACGTTATATAATTATTCTTGCGTCACCGTAGGATATGAGTAATGGATTAAAAAAGATTTTAATAGTTTTTTTTAATCTAAAATATTCTGAATTTAACAAAGTGTTACTATTCTTCAAAAGTATCTTTGAATTGTTCTTCATTTGTTGAAAATATTTAAAACACGATGAAGGTACAGTATTCAAGAAAATATGAATAAAGCTCTGCTGATTTATGTTGCTAAAAACTATGCTTAAGCTTCTATCCATATATTCTAATTGTATATGTCTAGGCTGACGTATTATGTTAGTAAAATAGTTTCTTTCAGATTGAAAATGTACTGAAATAAATGCTAGTGAACAAGTATAGGAGAAATACATAAAAATGTGCTTTGCATCTTCTTCAAATAAATAAATTGTTCACCCAAAGTAATGTCTTATTAAAGTGTTTATTAATAAATAAACAATTTAATTATCATTTTAAAAGAACAGGCTTAGTAAACAAGTAGTTTTAAAATTTCATGCGTAACTGTGTAAAGATTTTAAAATTTCATGAGTATAAAAAAACAAAAATCTGGAAAAAAAGGGGAAATCTATACATGCATTCTAAATTGTTTTCTTACTTATTTTTTTTGGCCAAGTTACCCTTTACATGAAAACGCCTGTACCTTTTCCAAAAATAATAATAATAAAATTAAAAAAAATTTGGCAAGGGAAAACGTAAATTTAAGTTAAAACAGTATTAAATACAAAATTATTAATATTTAAATATCTAAATATTATATTCATTACAGCGATTTATCGCTGTCATAAAAGCTGAAGGATAGCGGACATTACATATTCAGTACTTCGAGCGTTTTGTCGCATTAGATAAATACTAGTAAAGCTACAGCAATAAAAAATGCAATCAACTTCCGATATTTTCAATTCTTATCGAAGTCAAGAGTTGACACTTTTTTCCAAGTAATATGTTACATTAGCTGGTAAAAAAAGTAACTTCTTTTTTGAGAACATTGTTTTGGATTGAATTAACAGCTCTTACTTTTAATTTAAATCTGAGTGTAACCTATGTAAATTATATTCTGACAGAAATTTCATCCTAAAATAATGGTAAAATATCCGGTAGCAGCCTGTCCATCCGATTAACCGTAAAGTTTACGGTAATTTTTTTTTACCTTTACGATTTCAAAACTGTTTACTACTAGTATGGTTATTGAACCATGGATAAAAACTATACGGTTTTTATAACCATTTACAACTAGCACGGTTTCAAAACCATAAAAAGAAATTTGACTGGAGATAAGGTTTTTTGTTAGGTAATGGGCAATTGGAGAGTGCAAGACACAAATTAGGACGTGCAGTACACTAGAAACTTTTCATGTGTTGAAGGGAATAAAGGAGATATTGTGGTGTCAACGCTGGGATGCGAACCTTAGTTCTGCGGGTCATGAGACTGACAGATTAGCTCTCTCGGTTATATAATATATACGCAATTGCCGGGAACTCAGTGGCTTCATTAGGTGAGCTTAGTTGGTTCGATAAAATTCTGGTTGTTCTACCGTATTAGGCGAAAGCAGTTAATAAACTTTTTTTCTCTCAGTTAACAATTTGATTACCATCTTATTTACGGTTATTTGATTGTTTTTATTGAGTATGGCAAAATAACTATGAAATAAATTGTTATTTAACCAATTTTTTCGAGAAATTTCGATTAGTGTAACGCCATATCGTTTAAATACATAAAGTATTTTATACAAATGTGTAAAATTTTGCTAGGAAGATTTAGATGAACATTTTTGATTCGATGTTGGAAACAAAATGTACAACAAAAAAAAAAAGAAGGAAACAATTTAAAGATACATTCGACCCACAGAAAAAAGAAAAAATTATAATATCAACAATTAAGGTAGAGATTTAACGATTGCTAATATAGTATTGAATCATATTTTGACATGGACATTAATAGAAATAATTTTTGTTGTTTGAACAAAAGAACTTACGTCAGAGACTAAAACAAATATTAATTTTGAAATTTAGCATTCATTAGTTTATTAACTTCCCTCTTGGCTAATTTAGTGGGTAAAAATTATTCTCATTGTTTTACCCAATGGCAAATTTTACCATTCGATGGAATTTACAGAGGTCCAAGCTATCTTTTTATGAGCTTGTAGCTAAAAAGCATTTGTATTGAGCAAAACTACATTTAAACCTCCATGTCACCAAAAGCATACCTAAACTGTAAGGACAATTGCTATTATTCATATGAGGAAACGATAAATTTATCTGACAGTACAAACGTGAATTTAATCATTACACTTCCATCAGAATTCGAATTATGAATCCATAGGAAATAGAACATATTTAAAAAGAGAGGGGCGAAATTTTTGTGAACCAAATAAATAGTAGTTGCTAATTATTGCTACTATTTGAATCTGAATTATCATAATCAAATGCAGCAGTAAGCTTCAGCCCTGCTGTTCTGTTCGTTTTTATTTTAGTGTATATTTTGTACTGTTCAGGGGAATGTGACCAGAAGAGCAAATAATGTACACAGGAATTTGTTTTTCCCTTTAATTTAGAACAATGCTATACGTATACAGCTTACATAAATTAAGTTAGTTTTAAATGAATCTACTTGAATAGTGTAAAAAATGTATATTACAATTAATATAAGTTTGATTATATTTGTTGAGAAAAATAAACAATCTGCTCTATTTTGAAAATATTAAACTCTTTTATTTGTAGTTTTCAGGTATATGTTTTACAATTCTTGAAAAAACAAATTAATTTCATTAACATCATTTAATACGTACAATTTTCAGAATAGGGCACTCTTTTTACTCAACTCATTTATTTTGATCGGCCTCGAATATGAATCTTCAAATTATGTTCCAACTTAAGTAACTCTTATTGAGAATATATATTTTTAAAATGGGTCAAAATATGATTACTAAGGACTACCTTTGAGCCTTAAATAATTGCAATTTTGACTTTATTATGGATTATGAAACGGAATATAGTACGTTATTTATTTTTAATATAATTGAAAAAAAGAAGAAAAATTAAGTTCAGACCACATTTACTCGAACAGCTCACTGTTAGAAATTTTTACTTTAAAAATAAATCACATAGTGAATGTATATCTATTTTTAAGGGAATCTTCAATTCGAGTCACGAAAAATTAAGCAATTATCTTTAAACACTAATTTTTTTTATAAGATGTTAAAAACATAACGTCCTGTCTTAGGAACTTTAAAGAGTTAGGAAATTTTCAACTTTAGCTTGCATGATAGTTTTACTGAAGAAAAAGAATAAACGTAACAAGGATGCTAAGATTTAAAAAAATGAAAACTTGTTAACGCGTTACCTTATGAAACATGAAATTCATAACTGCGTATTGTAATAATAATTCAGTTTATATACGCTAGCTTTTATTTTAACTTAAAATAGTCTCCAAACTTTTCGAACTAATAAACACTGTGATGAAATTATTTTTTTTAAAATATGGAATATGTATAGTGGAGTTTGCTTTAAATATTTATAATCGACTCGATTGATTACTTCTTAAGCAATTTTAGGTTTATAATGATTAAATGTCGTTTTATTTGCTGATACAATGATATCATCGTTGTTTCCTTCATCAATGAACTTTTATTTGCTTACATTCTGTAAAATGTAAGCAAATATATAAAATTGAGCAATTAGAAATTTTAACTTTAGCATGACAAATGCAACAATATTTTACCGTGTAACCACGTAAAATAGGCGTGAATGTTATTTCTAGTTTATATGTCTCCCCGATTTTTTACCAAAGAAACTTTTCCTTTATTAAATGAGACTTACTACTTATAATAATATGTTTAAAAAGCATTACAGAAACTATTTGATACTTTTATAAAATGATGCTGTTTCGTGCTTGAAATATTCCACGAAACCAGTAATATACCAAAAGTTTCAGGAAAGTTAAGCATTTATTTGTTTAAAAATAGCTTAGCCCTCCTTCAAACCGTTAGATTGAGTCCCAGTACGGGAAGATCCGATAACTAGGGTCCAGAAGTTAATCAGGTTGTTTCGTTTCTCTTTCTTTTTCCTTTTCTTTTTTTTCGCAGTGTTCATTGTATTTTGTTAGCAATTAGAAAACTTACATTTTGTTCTTAAAACGATAATTTATGAAACTAAAATTAAAGTGGTAGGTAAGTGAGGAAAATATCTTCTTATTTTAAACCTACATATTTTACCACTTTCTTCTTTAATATTTGCAGTAAAGTAAACAACAAAAATTACGAGGGAATGATGATTTTTTTTAATTGTGGGAGTTTATTTCGATTATAATTTTAATGCATGAAAAATGTATGATAATCAAAAATATATTTGCTTTTTTGATAAATGGTATCTGTAGGTATTTTAAGATAAGTGTTTGTTTCGTTAACTATAATTTTTTTTTAGGCTTTGTCTTCTCTGGAAACTAACACACGCAGGCATGCGGGTAAATACAATTATGTTATGGCTGAATCATCAGAACTCAGAGAAATCGATCAGCTAGAAGAATCAGCGAACACCATGTTCAGCGAATACTGGCAAATGTATTTGTTAAATGATCCCGAAAAAGCTACTGAGTTAGGTGACCATCGATATGACGACAAGTTGACAAGTTACAGTTTGAAATCATATGAAAAACGAAAGGTCCGTTAACAAATTTTTAATTATAATAATATTTTTATATGTATCGATATTTAATATCTTCTGAAAATACTCCAATGCTTAGTAGATATATTTGAAACAAAAATTCCAAGTTTATTTCATTCGAATATTTTATTCTAATATTAAGCTAGTATTGAAGGGTTTGGAGAAATGCAGTGATAAGCCACATTTTCAAAACGTTCAGGGGAGAATTCAAATTGCTATATAGTTGAAATTCCGAAAATTTAATTGGAAACAATATCAAGGAAACGTTTCGTGTAAAAATGTCATCTTAGGAAAAATGTGGCTCATCATTTTATTGCCTCATGCCTTTGCATTGAATAAAAAGTAATTTAAATGATGTCCGGTCCTCTCGATAAATACTTTATGTTGATTAGAATTCAGCAGTGATTTTATTAAAATATCTACTCCTGAAAATAAAAATTTTCATAACCAATGTGGACAGAAGAATTTTTCACACATGACCATTCCATGCTTGGCTGGTAAGTGAAACTTTTAAGTCCTCATTTTTGTTTGATGTTAGAAAGTTATGGTATTAAACTTGTTTGAAGTTAGAAAGTTCTGGAGTTAAACTTGTTTGAAGTTAAAAAGTTATAAAATTAAACTTTAAGAGTCAACGTATCCGCTGTGTGGGTCAGCTATTCAATGCCAATTGTGAAGTAAAATATGATATACTAGTTAGTTCTACTTTGAAATGTAAATAATAATTATATTTTTTTAAATGTTCTTGTGTTTAAAATCTTCTGAACATAGCTCCAAAGCTTAGTGTTTCAGTATGAGATATTGATCGTTCTGTTGCTGAGTTTCAGATTATGATTTCTTGTCTAATTAAAACACGCCAAGTTATTATCTTTGATGCTTTTTTTTAAACTTTTGTAATTTCCAAGCTTAATATTTTTAGTACTGATACTCAGCAAATATATATTCTATGAGGAGTAAAAATAGTTTTCATAGCATCCTGGCTTACTTTTCTTTTCAAAATCTCTTTTCCCAAGACTGTTTTGACAATTATGGCTGTTGCAAAATAATTGCAAAAATAATTGGGAGAAAGTTTGTAACTAAATATTTGCATCGCAAACTGATTTTTGAAGGTGCTTCCTTGGTTGAAAAAGGTACCTTCTTTGTTGGTCCAAAAATACACTTTCCAGAAAGATTCAGCTCCAGACCCACAGATCTAAAAGCACACAAAAGTGGAGCGAGAATTTCACCTGACTGGTGCTTTTTGGATACAAGGGTTAGTATTAGCATAAGATGTTGGCATTCCTCATAAAAAAGATTCTTGTGTGAGGTTTGGGACAAGTAGGAGAATTTCGACTTATAACACAGTTTTGCACCATTTAACAGATTTGCAAAAAAGCCAAAGATGAATGGTTTGAAAATTTGTTGCAAATAGTAACATTTTCATGTTTACATCTTTACTTGAAAGCTCCGTTTTGAAATTGTAGTGAATCATATGTCCAAGTGAATTCTAGTCACCCTGAAAAAAAAAAAAGGAAATCTGATTACGCTTATAATAGAAAATATGTAGAAGCTTTTAAATTTAAAACGGCTTAAAACTTTTTTCTTTTAGTACAATTATTATAGATTATAGATAATTTTAGATAATTGTTAGTTTTATAAATATTTCACCCTGACAGGTCATGCTGAGTGAATTTTTAGAAAGAGGAAACCAGATGCTTCCCCGTGCACCAGAAGGCTCTATGGTTCAAAACAATCTTCAGCTATTCGTAACAAGCTTGCAAAGCAAGTTGGACGAGCTTATGTCCGGAAAGTAAGATTCTAATTTTATGTGTCTTAATTCTACACAACAGACCACCAGAAAATGATTTCATTAAACTAACGATCATTAATAATACATTATTAATGATCATTACATTAAGCTAATATACTGTTACATAATTCATGATTGATTGTCTTATTTTCCAAATAATATTTGGTTAGCATTAATTATAATAAAATAATACTGGGATGATAATTTTATCATTTAGCTATAATTCCATTATAATGGTATATATTTACGATAAAAAATATAAAAACATTAAAATCGTGTTACAAATCACCAAACAATTTCTAAAGCGTTCCTTTTATATACGTTTTAGAGCACTTAAAAGCTAAAATTCTTTTGTTGTATGCATCTGTATAAATAAAAATAAATTCATAATACCAAATGCAAAGGGTCAGAACTTTAGCCAATGAATTCGATAGCTAATTTATCGGCTGTTGTTTCTTATTTGTTTTCAATATGTATACGATTAACGATAATTACATAGTGTGTATAGATGTGGATATAACTAAATGATGCTATTTTTAGTATAGATAATAATTAAAATTTCTCAACTTGATAGCTATTTATTTCCTGTCTCAAATTTATGGTATCCTGAAATGGCAATGCGCTATATGTTGGAGTACATGAAACCAGAAGTGACTAAACAGTATTGGAATATCATAATGAGGTATCGAGCTCTGGGAACTCAGGTAGAAGCATTTATTCAAAAACTGTTTTATCGTTTTTTAGCGTTTTCATTGTCTACGGCTGTAAAGTAACGACTTTTTCTTTTATAGATTGACGAACAAATTGAATTAATGCGAGAAGGCATTCGTACGAATTTCACTTCCAGCAACTACTCTTTGGTTAGTTACTTTCTCTACCATGTTTTATCCTCGTTTAAGAACGCAGATAAGCGATATTTCTTAGAGTTTATCAAGTTGACAACTCCTAAATCAAAGTTAAAAAATAATTTTCCCCGTGAAATTTTAAATTTTTTTCAATTTAATATATATTTTTTTCGCTAATTATAATAGAAGCGAAGGAATGAAGGTCTTTATTTCTCCTCTAACATAATTTTCTGCATTAAATTAGATTGTTAAACAAGACACTCATTTTTTTAAATAACTCTTATTTATTTATTTAATAAAAAGATACCGCAACAAATTTTTAACCGTTGTAGGAGAATCAAAATGCAAATTAAGTGAACAGGGTATAACAAACTATTATGTTTTCTTTTAAGTTGATTGCTGAACACGAAAATTGCAAATAAAAAGGTCAATGATGTCCCATGTATTTTGAGCATAAACGGTTATAAAAAGTATACTTCTATACAAAACCTTCGGGGTACTGAGGGTGTTACTTTAGGCATTTGCCACCCCCTCAATAGAAAAGGTTTTGTTTTATGGCTACCGGGGCCGGTACCCCCTGAAGACGTCAGCTTCGGTGGTCATATTTTAATTTTTATTACCTTCGTTACCTTTGTTGCTGCGTTTATCCTTTTTGTGAGATTTCTGCTTTTTTTTTTAGCACGTTTTTTTCATGGAGGTTTTAATAATTTAGATTTAAATTTTTTTTTTGTTTTCTTTTAGTACGGTTATAAAAAGCTAATACAAAGTTAATGGTACTTGTAATATTGAAAAACTTTTGTTTAGTTTAGCTTTTAATGATTAGCTTCCTTTTACTTTTTCAGCCCTCAACTCGCCGTAACTTTAAAAACGAGAAGCTAGAAAACTCCGCTTTTTATCAGCCTTTCCTCAACATAACATCTGCAGTACCATCTGATGAAGCGTAAGTTTTTGTTTAGATTAGTATTCGGAGTTTAAAACCTAACTTGTATCTCACTATAGAGCTTAATGAATTTCGTGACATTCTAATAATTATGAACAGGGAAGAAAATTATATTGTGTTTATTTAAACTTTTTGGTAATTTTTTCGTTCATATGGTTCTACCTAAAATTCTAGTTTTCAAAATTATAGTTCTTATTACAACACATTTAATAAAAATGCAAAATTGAGAAACGGAATAAATGGTTTTTATGCCACGCTCTAAGGTATCATGAAAAAATTACCAAATTTTAACTCAAATTGTAAAACAATATTTTGCTGTTAATTTTACTAAAAGTCATTACCGAAGTGCTTTGGTAATGACTAAGTGCTTTGGTACCGTGTTTATTAGTGCTCCCATAGAGCCAGAAACACGGTAAATTTTATCATATTCTGGCAGTTTTGACCATAATTTTTTCCCCCTCGGTGTAGTATTTAAATTCTTTTTTGAAACAGTCCCACTTTTGTAATGGGATGACTAATTGAACTGTTAACAAGGTAATTTTTCTAATTCATTTTAGGCTCGAAATTCAACGGAACGCCAGTGATGCTGTTCAAAATTTCCTAATACCAGCCCTAGAGAAACTCGAAGATTTTATACAAAATGTAAGACATTTATAAAGTTTATTTCTATTCTAATGTAAATATAGATATCTCAAACACTTGTCATTTTAATTATATGTTCTAATTAACTGTTTATTATGATGGCAGTGGTAGCAAACAATAACTGTTTTGTGAAGCAATATTTTTATTACGAAATTTCATCTTAAAAGCGTGTCACGTACAAGAAAATTTTGAAAAATACAAACATGGTACACTTTTGGAGCACCTTTTTGCTGCGAATTTAATAAAATGTTTCCATGCAAGTTGGGAGATAATACCACGGAATCAAATGTAAGAGTGGTTAACTTGCACGTTCAAGGTGCGAATATTTATATTGCTAAATTTGTATAAAATGTAACTAATAATTGTAATAGTACTTTTTTTCAAAATATAAATAATTGGTTTTAAGAATAAAAAGGTTGGAAAAATAGCCATGTATTGCATAAAATACATGATGACTATTAAAAGGAGCTTATTCTTTTTTTTTATTGTTATTCGTTCTATTTCGCAAAAACTTAAGGCTTTATTTCGATAAATTCCTTAAGCGTTTTTAATTTAATAAATAATCCCAAGAAACAGATTTGGTAAGATATTACTTGATTAGAAGGATAATGTAGATTAAAAGGATAGGACTTGATTGATAAGATAGGATCCTAATTAGTTTTGATAATCGCTGGGGAATTTACCAAATTCTTTGTCAGTGCGATTTTGGATACATCAGATAAACTAGACGCGCTTTAAAATTCAGACTTAAGGAGCGCGATAGATATGTTAGTAATCAAGAATTCGAAAAATCATCAATTGCTGCACATTGTTAGAATCTTGGGCATAAGTTCAATTTCGACAATGCCAAAATTATTTCCACTCCAGTCATATCAGCTCATCTTAATACCCAGGAATCTTGTTTTACTCATGTGATTGCTGATTCCCTTGTTGACGACATTAGTTCCGCTCCATCTTTCCATAGCGCGTGGAAGTACATTTTACCCTGACTTGCCTCTCTCGGACAATGTGGTTTTTCTTGTTCTGTTTTTATTTTTTTTCTCTCCCTACTGTGGTTTTTCTAGTTTGTTTCTCACCTTTTTTTTTCATTTTTGGTTGACAACTTTGCGTTTTATATTTCAAATCCCTTTTGTTCCTTCTCAGTCGCGTCTGGTAAATCTTGAAAATGGGCGCCTATTTTTGAGTGTATGAAACATCTCTGCTGCTATTTCCAATTTGTACATTTTTTAAACGAATGATGTTTTTAATCAAGTAATGTATAAGCATTTGTCAGAATAAGGACTGACTTAAGCACTTTCTTTAACAAAAACAACTGAACTATAGCCATCTTTTAAACATGTTGAATTGTATATTGATACATTGAGTGATCAGACACGTTAACAATACGCATTCAAGTGATTTATTACACAGCTGACTTTCTTATGTTAATGTCATCTGTCACATTTTAACAGATAAAAAGTCGTATTTTTGTACTGCTTTAGTAATCTGTTAACAGATGACTTTTTTTGACACATGTCAAAATTCCATATGTTCACATTTATATATTAAATGACATTTAATACCTAGTCTGAATTTTAACATTTAACATTTACTTAGTTATTTTTTAACAGATGACATTCGTTTATATGACAAGTGATAGGTGACGTTATTATATTATATTAACATGTGACGCTTACTCATCTGCCACATTTTAATAGAAAAAACAAAAGAGTATATGAGTAATAATTGCATGTAAGTAATAGTTGCATTATTTTTATCATTATTTTCCACTATATTCTTTTTCATATTATTATTTTTGCTTCAGCAAAATTTAGGGCAAAATCAACTCGGATTATATTTAACTATGGCTTTCAAAAAAGTAATTAAAATATTAAAATATAGAGGTTTGACACTGGCTGCAATTTCTATCTTAGCAACGATACATAGAATTTAGTTACATAAGGAACTGTGGTTAGCAGAAGTAACAGTTAAAGCAAAGCATCTTTATCTCCTAAAGAAGTTGAGTTTAATTTATTATGGTTGGCTGGAACAAAAAATTAAATCCTTAATTATAAACTGTTTACCATAGAATCATATTTTTTTAAGCATTAGAAAAAATTCAAAACCTTTCTACTGAAAAGCAACCTGGATTTGAGAAAAATATCATCTGTATCTAAGAAAATATTTTGATTTTATTTATTTTTTTTAAACCTAAGGAATACAGAATGTATATCTCAATTAGAAAAATAAAGCAGAATCAATTTCACTCTTTAATAACAGTTCAAATAGGGAACAATTTTTATCTCTCTAGAATACAACTTTTTCATATTTTTTAAAAATTCAAATAAATTTCTAGAATTTTATCTGGCAACATGTAATCATTTCTCTCTTTTTCTTTCGTTGTTATTAGTATCACCTCTGACTTTTTTATAACCCGTCACGTTTCTCTATATGTGCATTTCTACGGTCTGTAGAGCGGTCCGGATGGTATTTTTTACTCTATGTTTTTGGCCATTAATAATTCTTGAACTAATTATCTAACGTTAACCATTTCTTTCTTTCATCGTACTCTCTGTGCATTTTTCTGCACACCTTCGTAATTATACATTTATAAGCTTTTAATTTATGCTCAGCAAAACAAAATGTATCGTTAAGTTGAACACTCAAAATAGCCGCGGTGCATACGATTTTTAAATACAAAGAGAAACGAGTTTGGAGTATAAGTTTAAGTTCAGTTTTAAAATCTTTGTGTTAGATGAAATTTTTAATTAAAAAAGTTTAATTTTATTAACTAATTAATTTTTCAAAAACAAAAGCAAATGGCTATCCGATAAAAGCTTCTTATTATACATTCAGGGATTATTGAGAATTATTGTGATATGAATTGGATGGTTGTTATTGCAACTTAATATGCCATTTGTCTTGATTTCAGATGCAGTTTTTTTTTCATCTTGCAAGCAGTAAACTTATGTTCTGAAAAAAAGAATGTTGTTCGAAAATAATTATGTTGATTGGATTTTTTTAATTAGAAATATCATTTTTAAAGGAATCAAAGCAAATGGCGATCTGAGAGAAGAGTATTGAATAATTGATCAGAAATTATTGGGAATTTTCAATATCAGATCTGAAGGTTTCTATTCGAACTCCTTTAGCTACATACCATTTGTTTGGTTTTTAACTACGCTTTTTATCGATCTTTCAAGCAATTAATTTAAATTCCGAAAGAAGAATATTCTATAAACCTCATGTTAATTGGATATTTTGATTTGAAATATTTCTATAAAGACCAAATGGCTTCCCGAAAAATAACAAAAATTATTTAACGATAATTGGTAGATTTTGGCACATCGTTAAGTTGCTAATTTATATTTGTTACACATTGCAAAATCTTTTGCTGTTTTCATTTACATTATTTATATTGCGTGTCACTACCTGATGAGATTCTACAGTTTTAACTAAACTGCAAAGCATTCTGTGCGTAATTTTAGATTGCGGCTATTCATTTTTAGGTCTTAAACCAAAAATACTTAAAACAAATAACTATAAACTAACTCAAGCTCTTTATTTGTGAGTTTTAGAGGTTGCATGAAACTAAACAAAAAAAAAAAAAATTTTAATTTTTTTTTCCAATACTAATTTCTAATAATAATTATATTGAAATATGCTTGAGACATTGTGAACATAATCCATGAAACTGGAAACTGAAGAAACTCTCCGAACTAGTTTATTTTAATCGACATTTTTAGTCTATTTTTTGTCAAAATGTACAAGCTTAAAGACGTTATATGTAACAGAGGGCCGCACAAATATTGCAACAAACTTAAAAAAACAGTATACTTAAAAGGGAGTCGCGTTAATGAGGCGACAAACTTCTAGTGGATTTAGGGCACACCATCAGGATTAAAATTGCATAGGATGTCGTCGTACGAGGCTAGGAATACTTCCCTATTATGACCAGTTTAGAAGTACATGAAGAAGCAGTTCATAATAGGGAAGCGCCTCTAGTGGAATATGATGACAACATTTCCGGATATGGGTTCTTGTGCAATATCCGGAATTAAATATACTGTTATTTTTAAACAAGTACTTTTCGACAAAAAAATAGACTAAAAATGTCATTAAAAAAATCTGTAGCTTTAGTAGCAAAAACAAATTTTAAATTTGAAATCTCCACAACCAAAGTAGATAAGATCAAATATATGTATAAGTGCAACAAAAAATTTGTTCCCCATTGTAATTTAAGAAAGGATAGATTTATGGATTTGATTCAGAGATGAATTTGGAGCCATAGTATAGATGGCAAACATATCTTATATGATAAACTATATTTGTTCTTCAGACAGCCACGTGGCCGAGCGGTTAGCGTGCCTGACTACGAAGTCAATGACTGCCGGTTCGAATCCTGCTCAGGGCATGGATGTTTCTCTCTGTGTGTTATCCTCTGTAGTGTGTGATGTGTGAATGTGGCAAACCTTATAAACGGGTATCTGTGGCAGTGTGACGTGGGTAGTGTTGCTCGCCTCCGTGACTCTGGTCACTAGGTGCTCACCCGGCAACGAAAAATAAGCAACACTTCCGGCACCTTCCATAGGGAAGAACGTTATATTCAGTGCCTGACGGTAAAAAAAATAAATAAATATCTGCTTTTCGTAATTTCAATGTAATGATACATTTCTAATTGAAGTTACCTTTCATTAACATTTTTAAAACTATTTTTCATTTCAGGAATACCGTCCCAGTTCTCGATCGGCAATTGGAGTCAGTGCTCTTCCTAATGGAAACGAATTTTACAGGCAAAGACTATCTTATTATTTGGCGGACTCCAACGTAACGGCGCAAAAAATTCATGATATGGGTGTAGCGGAAGTTTCGAGAATAACATTAGAAATGGACAAAGTAGGATATTATTCAATGTTTGATATTTAGGAAGGTTCAAAATTGTATTTATTAAAATATTTAATAGCATTTTAAAATTACATACAAGACCATAAGCGATATACCACAAAAATTCTCGACCATGATGGAGATTTTTTTAAAAACTTATTTTTAATAAAAGAAAAAAGCGCAGAACTTAACTCTTTACTATTTCATAATATTCTGTTTTATCCTATTTCAACGGTACACTGAAGCATGGTCAAAACTAATTCGATATGGAAAGTTTTCTGGCTCTGTGGGAACACCAAATCTGGTTTCTGGCTCTATGAGAACATCAAAAAGTTCGATAATTTTTACCGGATTCCTCTGCTAAAATGAATAATAAAATATGGGATAGTACTAACAATATAATATGAGATAAAATTTGCTAATTTATCATGATGCCTAAGAACAAGTCATAAAACTATTTAACGGTTAAATTTACTATTTAACGGTTAAGTTTTGTATTTTTTTTACTAAATGTAAGGAAATAAGAACTATAATATTGAAAACCAGAATTTCCAGCAAGCCGTTACTATATGAACGGAAAAATTATATATAGATATATATTGGAATTTTTTCCTTCGTACCTGCTGTTTAGACATAAAGAATTTTTTTTTTTTACTTTTATATGAAGCATATCAATTAATATTTTAGCAGTGAAAGTATTCTGTGCTTGTCAACAGATTTTTATTTTAAACTGGAGAACATATTGTTTTTTCTATAAACGTAAATTCGTTGCATTATTGGAGTGATGGGTACTAAAGAGTGGAAACTATATTAAAGTCTGAAATTATATAAATTAAGATGGAAGTATTCTTGTATTTACTTAATACAAATAATTAATTTCCTGAATACAAATTAATTTATAATTAAAAATTTTTTTTTGACAAAGCGAATAAGTGCTAGGGATTTAGACTTGAAAACAAAAAAAAAGCTGCATTATCTATACCGAATGCTTGATGAGGTAAATTATCTAAATTTAGACGCAAAAAATTTACAAATTTACAAATTTACTTACTTTATGATGCAGTTTTATAACCATTTCTAAATAAAACGTTACTCATTAATTGATTAAATAACGCAAATATAATTTAATAAGAGTAAATATTTTGCATTGGTTATACATAGTATATGTTTTATGTTAAAGAATTCAGTTTCCCGGTATTTATAAAATTCTATGTTGTATAGATTTTTCAAATTAGGTTTCCTGAGTTAGTAGCTTCTTAGTTGTCGCTATTATTAACTAAACTTTTTTCTTCTAAAAAAGTTAATCAGTTTTTTTGCAATGAACAAGATGTTTGTAAATTTGGTTTTTATTCTAGGTAATTCAAACTCTGGGCTTCAATTACACTCGTAAGGAATTCAATGAATATCTCCGCAACAATAAAGCGCAGCATTTTAATTCAGGAGTATGTACTGGTTTTAAATACTTTCTTTGTTTTGTATCTTATTTTCTACTTGGTAAGCTTGTAAATTTTCTCACTTGTAAGTGCATTCTTTAAATTGAAAAATAAGTGTCTTGATTTTTTTTACATAAAAATGTTATAATAATAACGATATGACATATGGCCATTCCTTGAAAGATTTAGTGAATCTTAAAATGTGCTTTTTCATTTTTTAAAAAAAAAACTGTTTTGTATGCTCTCAAACTACGTAAACTTAAGTTATAATCAAATATGAAACTTGAGTAATTTTCGTTGAATAGTTCTAGATGTATAAAACTTGACGTACCTTTTTTTCAGAAATTTTATCAATTTTATTCATAAAAAATATTTTATCAATTAAAATTGCATAGTTTCATTAAATGTAAAATTTTCAATGTTAAAGTTTAAGATACTTTTGATCATTATTAATAAAGATACTAAAATAAATAACATGAAAGTATTAAAAATTATTTTTATTTGTCTTAAAATAAAGATAACATTAAGGGATCTGAACTTTCGTGTATTTGTAAGACTGAACTTTTGGGACACCATATCTTAAAGATTGTAGTTTATCTTAGTAATCAGAAGTTTAAATCTGGCACTAAAAAATTTCTGTCTGATGAAATGTGTTTTTGTGTCTGATTTCATTTCTTAAAATAATCGTCGAATTTATTAAAAAAAGCTTTTCGAGCTATAAAAATTGCATGTTAATGCAAAACCTAATTATTAGATAAAAAGTAATTCAGTTTAATATTTTGATTTATAATCCAACTAGCTTGGAAGCTGGTTTAAGCTGGGGACCTAAAATAATAAATTTAAAGTAAAGTTTAAAAATTCGTAAAATATTTTTTTAAATAAGGGCAAATTTGAGTTTAAAAAATACAAATTTTTCATGGCACGCTTACAGATCTACAACAAAATGTTATGCATAAATTTCAAAATAAATGTGTTTTAAATTAAAATCTTTAAAAAAAATCAATAGAAAAAAATCAATTAATTAAATACATTGTTTAATGTCGAATTCTTAAAGAAAAATTCTAAATATTCGTACTTAAAGTTTGATAAAAATAACAAACTCAAACTTAGACTTTAGTTTTTAGTTCGAAACATTTCTAACATTATACAAAATCTACATTAAAAATTTAAAAGAATTCTATTATAATTTTTTTTTGTAATGTGAGCTAGTGTAAAGAAATTTTTTCAAATTTAAACGTTCTTTAGAAATTAGTTTAATAAGTAATAAAATCTTGATTACAAAAAAATAATAATTCGAAAATCAATTACTTAAAATTAATTTCATTTGTCATAAAAATAAAATTAATCCAAATAAATAAGGGTTCAAATAAAAAATAAATAAAAATAAAAACATTTTAGTTTGTTTTCGTGAATTTGCTTTTGGTTTCAGTTTCGTATGTGTCAACATACGCAAAAAACAACTGTAACTTCATTTCTGAAAATCGGAAATAAAAATTTTAAAATCTGAAAATTAATTAATCGAAATTTTAATTTTGAAATCTGAAATAAACATTTTAGTTTCGGAAATGAGCTAATGAACTAAAGCTTAAATATAGATAATAATAAAAATATTAAGATTTTCATTTGAAATTGCCTATTTTTAATCAGTTGAATACCTTAACTTTGTGCAACGTTTAAAAATGATTAATAGCATATTCAATATAGAGATAAAATAATTTTGTTTGCTTCTTATTTTTAGTTATTATTATATGAATTCTACCGAAGTTAATGTATATACCCTTTTATTTCTGTAGGATGAAGCATTACAGACTTACCGAAACATGCTGGAAAATACTATCCCACGTAAACTCTCGGAAATATTCAAGCATATACCTCGAACGAAATTGCAGTAAGATAAAAAAATTATGATGAAAACTACATTTACATTTTTTTCAGTCAGTGTTAAACACCAATTTATAAACTAAGGAAACTTATTTAAAATGAAAAGATTTTTTTTTAAAGAGAAAAGGAATAAGAGTATGCTGAAAAAATTAAAATATTAATTAGACTGGTTAAAAATAAAATGAAACTTAAAAAAAATTAAAATTTAAATAACATTTTCTGCAATTTTCTTTAAATATTAGGAAACGCACTAAGAAGCGCTTTGGTGATGATTTTTGTAAATTAAACAATAAAATATGGTATTATATGTGATCAAATTTAATTTTATCATGGTACTTTACATCATGGCGTAAAAACCATTTATTCGGTTAAATTTTGTATTTTTCAGTTTTGTATTTCTTACTGAAGTATCAGTTTTGTACTGTATCAGTATTGTATTTTTTACTACTGAGATATTAAGAATTATATTTTTGAAAACCAGAATATCCTTAAACCTTTACTTTATGAACGGAAAAATTACCAGTTTGATATATAATTAAATATAATTGATCTGTTTAATAAAATTTTAAATATAATTGATCCGTATATTTTGATTCTAATAATAAGAATTATGTTTTTTTTTTTTTTTTAAATAAAAAATAAAAAATGTCATTACCATACAGTACGGTAATTTCACCCGAATTTTTTTTTCTCCGTGCAAAACCTTATTATAAAAATACTTATTTTGTGTCAGATTCTATTACAGATACTGAACCGTAATTTGATTTTATTCACTTTAAACAAATGAATGAACAACAGTCAATTCAAAAAAATAGAACAATTCAATTTTTAAAACGATTTATTGTCACGGAGTTTATGTAATCTTATATCATTATAAATTATAAATAATCACATTTTTTTTCCAGAACCATATGTTGGATTATTTATTTTAAAATGAACACAAGTAATACAGTTTACGATTTAAATTAGTTATTACTTTTTGGTTGTTTAAATCTGTGATCTAATTGGTTGCTATAATTAAAGTTAAAAGGAAATTAAAAAATTTTCAATCTTCCAAGAAAAAAACTGAATTTTTCAAAACTTTAAATTTTTTTATGGTCTGCATTATTTTTGTTCATCATTTCCTTTTAAGCTTTTCGGTGGTTTTTCAAAATTACTCTAGTTAAGTAGTTATGTTATAAAAAATAATTTAAATTAAATCCTTATTAAAAAACTTTTTTCTTGAAATCTTGAATGATGAATAAGTGGGAACTTAAGCATTTAATTTTGATTGGTATTGTATAATAATTCTTTTAGGAATTATAGTTTTGCATAATTTGAAATTTTTCCAAACTTATTGTAAGCAATTTGTGATAATTTTCCTTATGAATTATGTATTATAAACAATATAAAATAATCCAATGATGAAGTTATAATATTCGTATGTACCTTTTAATTTTAAAAGACTCTTATTACAGTGCTAGAGCAACATTCTTTTAAAATGATGATTGATGATGATCACAGTAACAATAATATTAAAAATTTTCTGCACATTAATTTGGGATAATTTTTGTTTATTTTAAACAATTTCATATAAGTTTATTATTTTCCAAAATGTTTCAAGTAAGCTATCAAAGCCTCTTTTACAGGCATTTAATAACGTTTCATTTTTGTTTTTATGCAGAATTCAAGCTGTCCCAGAAGATTTAACAGGAGGACCTCTTGCTTATTATATTCCAGTTGCCCCTGATAATTCAACTCCAGGAATATTCTTTTTGGATACATCAAATCTTCCCAGTTTGTAAGAATTTTCATACTTTTTTCTGTTTCAATTTCTATTCTTGAATCCTATAAACAATCTCAAACAGAATCGTTTTTAATGATCAAGCTAAAATACTGAGATATAATGCCTAGCATATCTAATAATTTAATTTCTAACGTTTTAAACTTTTAATTTTTTGGCAAATTTGGTTGACTAAAAACAATAACTCATTGCCACTAGAAAAACATAGTGAAAAAACATGTTAACATTTTTGAAGATTTCCCAGATTTAATAAATTATTGTAGACAAATTTGAGTATAAAACATTCATTTATTTTTACCAATTCTTATGTGAGGTACAAAGTAAAACATGCTTTGAAAGTAGCTTATTCTTACTTTTATGCACCTGGAAGCATAATTTCTAAGACTCACAAAAATATCACTGTTAACTCTGAAACAAGTTTCAGACTATCGAATTATTTTGGATTGTTTTTAAACCATTATTTGCATTTTATATACTTTGTTTAAATATGATATTTAATCTTTTTTTATTAAATCTATTTCAAACTTTATTCATCTCTCTCAGCGTTTAAAAATTTGATGCATTTCAGAGGAGTTATACTTTCTTTCAAAAATTAAGGTATTCAACCTTTTTATTGTGTGTGTGTGCGTGCCTAATTTTAAAAGGAATGAAACTGGAATGAAATGAATGAATTTAAAGGAGATGGGAATAAAACAATTCTTTATTGAAGAGAATATCGAAATTTTCATGAATTTAAACACATAAACAATTTCTCGAGTTAACCCTAGGTTGATTTACAGCAACTAAGGAACACGTAGTAGAAGAGTCCCTTCTCAATACAGCAGTACGTAATATCTTAATGTGGAAAACAATTATAGAAATATTATATATTTATAGAATTATAGAAATATATATAATATACTCTTAAGAGTTCGAAGGAATGTTTTCCTCTCTAACTGCAGTGCATCGACTTTCAACGCTGCCAATTAAGTTATTGGACGTCAAAATGAGGAGCTGGACGCTGGACCAGACATGAAAGAGAACGTCAGAACCGTGGTCAATCACTAAGACAGAATCCGTATTGACCAGTGGGATTTGACCCTGCTTCCCCTTATTGGGAAATAAACACTCTATTCTTTGAGCCACCGCGACTCAGGTTTTAGGATTAACCTAAGGTTAACTCGAGAATTGCGGAGTTAAGGAATACAAAAATATTCAAAATCGTCGAAGGTTCCTCCATTACATCTCCAAGTCATGTAGCGGTTATACAAGGACTTGTTGAAAGCATGTCCCGAAAAGAGGACTCTAATTTGCACTTATAGAGGCTTTATACAACTTATGAAAATATTTTCTTTCCTTTTTATCACATGTGTCTAAGTACTTATTAGTAGAAAGTTGGTTCGCAAATTCATGTCTGTTTTTAGATCTTGTTTATTTGTGCTTTATATGTTGTTTCTGTGCCATCTTACTACGATCACAGAGACTATCTTTTGAATAATTGAAAATTGTTACAGTGATAGAAGCAGAGAAATAATAAAAATGTTGTGTATTTAGTCTATGAGTCATTTTTATTTGCTTTATTAATATGATGGCATTATGATAAAAAATAATTATTAATATGAGTACATTATAATAAAAAATGTAATACTTTTTAAATTTTTTTTAGACTAAGGTACGATGTTACGACTTTATCTCTTCATGAAGGAATACCAGGACATCACTTTCAGGTAAGTGTGACATTATACATGCATTATATATTATCTTACTAATTAATAAAAGTATAAAAAAATGCAATGTAATTTAATATTTAAAAAGCTCTTTGGCACTGGCTTGATAAACTAAAACAGCATGCGCATAATTATTTTAATGGTTTAATAAGTTTTATCTTAGAATAAAAAAAAATTAAAAAATGAGCATTCCTTTGTCTTGACTTCCTTAAAAAAACAAAAGACTTGTAAAACATTTTAAGTGTAGTAAAATATTTTAAGTATAGAAAAAAAATCTAAGTTTTTATATGCTTTGTTAGCATATAAACTTAGATTTTTACCTTACTGTTAGCAAGTTATGTATCTAACTAATATAGATCACTTCTTTTATATTCAGTATAAACTTTATTAAAGTTATACTAAGCATTCTTAATGTAAAGCTTTTCTGTTGAAAGAATTATTTTCATTTTAAGTTTGCATATGCGATGGAACAAGGTATGAAGGATATACCAGATTTCAGGAAGCATGGCATAGAAGCTGACGCTTATACTGAAGTAAGTATATGCATTGAGGTAATTTTAATTTAACTATTCGCAAGTGATTAAAAAAAGTATTTAGTGATTTTTTTTTAAATCATAGGGTTGGGGCTTGTATGCAGAACATTTAGGTTATGAGCTTGGATTGTTAGGAGATCCTTACCAACAGTAAGTATCTCTTTTTTTCTGTATCCTACAAAACTGTACAAGAGCTTTAATTATAAGTTTATTTACAGCTTTAACAATTTATTTAGAAATATTTATCATTTCTTTCATGTCATGTTTTTACAAATTTATTGTAAGGATCAAAAATAAAATTTACATATTTTATACATGCAAAATATTGCTTTGCAGTGAGCAGAAAAAAGGGAACTTATGTTCTAATGATCGCATTTTCCCTCACTAAAAACCACTCTTAATCGTTCAAATGGTGCTAATTAAATAGCGCTAACAATCAATTTAGTTATGGAATCACATACAAAAGCGTTTTTCCTCTAAATAAAATAACTTATTTTCAACAAAATTGGATTTTTGACTATCAAAATAGCGGATTGAAATCTATAGCGGCAATCTGGAAAATATATTTAGTCAGGAGTTAAACCCCCTAAAATAAACTTTTTGCACATTTCCTCATATCTCAAAGACTTTTTAATCCAATCGAAAAATAATTTGTAATACTTATTATTTTATTTAATAATAATTTGAAAAAGTTTGATTTGTGAGGTACATAAATTTTTGGATCCTTTTAATCTAAGTAATTTTAAATGGCAAAATACATCTAAACAATGTAGGTAGATAAAGTCTTAGAAAATAAAAACAGAAAATTGCGATTTTTTAAAAAAAAAATTTGTAACTCAGAAACTATTTGACAGATTTCGCTTAATGATAGGTATTTAAAAACACATTTAATAATATGGTTGTATTGTTACCATGAAATTCCTTAAATACCAAGGATTTTATTCAATTAATGAAAAAATTGTTAAATTACTGCTCCATCCTTTTATACGCCAATGAAAGCATTTATTTGTGCCTCGCCATATGTACTTTTATGAAAATGTTTTCGAATTCGCAATGTCGAATAACAATTGCATAAATGAAAATGTTGTTGTAGAGTGATTAAATTTAAAGCAGCGACGAAAGTTGAGGAACTTTCTGAATTTTTAATTTTGTCGAAAATAAAGTAACGAGATAATTTAGTAATATATTATGTCGGAATAATTTTAATGTTTAAAACATAGGTTCCTAACTTGGGCGCTTTTGCTCTTCAGTAAGAGGTGAATAGACGTAACAATGATAGAGGTTCATAAGCAAAATTGTAGCTGAAATTAGCAATGACTGCTTGTTGAAATACATAATTTTTGTCTTGATGTCGGAGAATTATTAACAATCTGGCAGAAAATAATATTTATTATTAAAATTGTTTAAAAAAAGCTTCTTAGTGCTGAAAAGAAAATACTTGACGTTTTTAGCACTAAACGGTGTCATGATCCCCTTATGAATTAGGAATTTATGTGTTCCTAAATTACGGTACTTTTATTTACGTAGTACTAGAGCTTCACAATGAGTTATTGGCGACGGTTTGGGAAACATCCCTGAATGGTCTACATTCCGTTCAACAGAGAGGACACATTCACACACCATCCATCCATCTGTAAATTCATCTAAAGGCCGATCTATTCTAGTTAAAAGTAAATAAAAATTTACATACTTTAAAATTCTAGAATAATAAATTTGCGATTTAAAAAGATGCAAGTTTATTTAAGTTATAGAATAGATCGGCCTAAATTCACTTGACCGATTTAATCTATAACCCAAATAAACTCGTATCTGTTTAAATCGCAAATTTATTATTCAAAAATTTTAAAGTATGTCAATTTTTGTTTATTTTTAATTCGTTTTTTAGAAACGTCTTGAATATATTGTTAAGTTAATCCATTCGTTTAATTCGCGTGCTTTCTCTTTCATTTATTAAATCGAAGGATTATTATCAAAATATAATTAAATCCAGATTTTTTTTCTCAAATTATAAAACATAATATGTGATAAAATTTTGAAATATATTTCACTCAGTATTAGCTGTATTAGAAAAACACAGAAGATGAATAACAAGTCGACCAGATGGCGTCCATAAACATCACTTATTTCACTTTTTTCAAAAATAAAATATAACAAAAACAATATTTAATTAAGTATTTATTTTAAACTAAAAAATGATGTGTTGAATTTATTTTCATCAAAATATGTGAAAATTTTTCATATACGAATTATTTTTATCAAATTTTTTTTTAAAAATGTAGTTTCCAACTAAAATACATTGATTATTAGGTATATTTTCAATAACTTAAAAGCATGTTTATCGAAGTGTATCATAACAAGATAATTAAAATACTTGAAATAATAATTGAACGAAATTTTATAATTTTATTTATTTATAATTGCTTCCCTTTTTTCTACTTTCTTTTTTTATTCATTTATTTGATTTTAATTATTTTTTTTGTAGAATTTCGAACAAAAAAGATAGGGAACCTATGGTTTAAAACAAAGCTGCTTAAAACATTAATATTATTGAATTGCTGTTGCTAAATCAATCATAGGTTGATGGGTTCTAGTTCTAACTAAATTTAAAACGCATAAAATGTAACGGTTTTCTAATAAAAGTAAAATGTGAGACCTTCACTGAAACAAATGGCAATTAAGTAATCATTTTCTGGATTGAACAATATTTTTTTTATAATTGTTCTCAATGAATGATTATAAATTTAGGATTTTATTATTAGTGTTTGTTTAATTTTCTTTCATTGTAAGAATATGATTCAACGAAATAATAATGCATTGTTAGTATTAGCCGCTTAATAGTCTGTAAATTTTGAAATTACGTTTTACTTATTGAGAACAAACAATAGAAAATTATATTTGATTGAATACATTTTAAAGTTCTTTTTTTTATGTTATTCTTAATGGATTATGGTACAATATTCTGTTCTATTTTACAGTTTTGGACATCTTTCGTATGAAATGTTCCGAGCTTGTAGATTAGTAGTAGATACTGGAATACATGTTATGGGGTAAGTAAAGACAGTGTCCATTTTCATAAACGCGCATTTCGAACTGTGTCCATTTTTGTAAACACGCATTTCGAGTTATGTTCATTTTCGTGTGTTTTTTTCTATAATTTCGAAATTTTATCCCAAAGAATTAAATATTTTTTTATAATTAATGTTAGATACTTTTTAATAATTATTTATTTTGCATGGCTTGCATAATTAAAACAGTTTTAAAATTGAGGTTCAATGTATTGTTGCATTGTTCTTAAATAAAAGTTCGTATTTTTTTCAAATTTATTTTTCTTCTAAGTTATTAAATCTATTCATCATTGTATTGAAATAGCCCACGAGAGACAAAACAATATGCATGTCTCTTCCTACTTGAGGTATAATTTAACATTTGAAATATTTATATATTTTTTCTTAGTTAAAATCCGAGGTCCACGCATGTGTACCTAAAATTATTAGCCTTTTGGCAATATAATTCATATTTTGTTTATCTCATTGTGACTTATGGCAGTAAAAAAAAAAAAAAACTGGGAACAGTAAAAAAAAAAATTTTGTTTTTGCTATATTCTTTTACATTTCAGTAGTGAAGAGGTTAACACATAAAACATGGTTTTATAGCAAAAATATGTGTATCATGTTTCTGTTTAAGTAAATGCAATTTTAAAAGAGACGACTTAAAAACGAGTTAAAATCGATTTTCGTTTTTGTCGCTCCAATTACTTTAATATTATTAAGACTTTAGAGGCTTTAATGCCGAATACTGTAAAAAATAAAATGTATGAAGTAAAGAATAAAAAAAAATTTAAATATTTATATTTAATATTGCTAACATTTAAATACAATTATTAACATTTAAACCTTTATTCTTTTCCCTCTACCCCCACGTTTAGTTACATAGATTTTTTTTGCTTGTGTATTTTTTATTTCTAATTTGCATATTTTTTAAATTTTTAGATGGACTCGTGATCAAGCTATTAACTACATGGCGGATCGCATTGCTTTATCTTTGAATAACATAGGAAAGGAAGTCGACAGATACATAACATGGCCTGGACAAGTAAACATCTTCAGTTTTTTTTTTAAATATTTAGAAGAGGATTTAAAATTAAGAGTCACAAAGTAATTTTTAAAACAGAAATTTTTCGCGTCAAATGAGTAGTCCGACATAACGAACAAAAACTGCGTAGTGGGGGTTTAAGAACGATGTCACAACATTTGGGTTACTGAGTACTGGATAGATATCACTACGTTCAGGCTACTGAAGGATCGGATTTCCAGTTCATGGTAACCCGTGCGGAGGCCTTCTCTCTTCCATGAGGTGCCTCAATATGGTATTTTCGTATTATATCTCATATAAGTACGTATACGTACTATTTCGCACATATACTCTTGGAATATGCGGAAGCTCTCTTTCTCATCCTGAAGGGGTCAATAAATATGTTTATAAATCTTGCTAAATATTTAGCAAGAAAAGTATACATTTAAGGGGTCGGTAATTTATATTAAAGCTGTGAAAACGCTAACGAAATTTGACTAATCACAATTGTGGAAGACAAATATCAGAGATATCAAAACGTATTTGATTGCCGGTGAGGAGTTGGAAAAAAAAAATGGTTAACGCTTTCAAGTTTATACAGGCTCTGTATAAACAGGTTTTGAGGTTCTTTCGCTTTTCCCTTAATTATGATTTGTTAGATTTCGATTTCTTTTCTTGTAACCTCATTTGTATGTATATTTTTTATCTTCCTTTTTAACCAGAATTATAAAAATTTAACTTACCTTAACGCACCTGGAAAGTCATGAATTTAGGTCACTGAATCATGGATTTAGGTCACTGAAAAATCTAATTTTTAAAATGGAATTTAAAATATCCCTGCATTTCATGGTGTTCCGAGCATCTGAATTTGTAATAAAATCCCCACTCACAGTCATATTTTATTAAAATATAAAATGTTTTTATCATGTTCTTTAACAGTTATGGTGTTCCTTCAAAAAATGAAANTTTCAAAAAATGAAAAAAAAAACATCATTTCTAGAGCGAATTATCTTTTAAACTTCTGTGATTTCAAAATTTTTGTTATTATTTTTTTGTTTTATCAGTTTAAAATTCTAGCTGAGGCAAGCCAGTCATTTTGGGTAATTTTTTTAATTCCATAATGAGAACAGAAATATCAGAAGTATTTCTTTCCTTTCGGATGAACAAGAAAAGTATCTTTAGAATATAATTCTGCAGAAAAAAATTATTTACTTTCGTATTTTTTCAACTATTTTATTGCTTCAACTCTTTCTTTCCTCTGTTTTTTAAATTTAAAATCTNNGGAAATAATGTGTTAATTACGTAAAGTTTGAAAGCTAATAACCAGAAAAAGTCTTAACTTATTTTTACAAAGAGAAAGATGCAAAGTTATCATAATATCTTTGCTTGTGATCTCCGAGATCTGTGGACACAGTGACGTCATGAGAGAGGGAAATCGTAGCTTCAAAATCTAAGAGCGGAGTGAACTAGCCCTTCTATTCTCTTTAGCCCTGACTATATACAGCATTTTAAAATAATTAAAATTTTATATCTGTAATGAATTTCCACCTGTAGATTCAAAATGCATCGTCGGTTTTAGATTTGAGTATTATGTTGAGTATTTAATTTATAATATCTATTTAGTAATATTTTTTATGTGCATTTTAATCAAGTGTTTCATATTAAGGTACAGACATATATTTCATAACTTTTACTTTTTTTCTTCTTTCTATAATTTCGAAATTTTATCCCAAAGAATTAAATATTTTTTTTATAATTGATGTTAGATTCTTTTTTAGTAATTATTTATTTTACATGGTTTGCATAGTTAAAATAGTTTTAAAATTGAGGTTTAATATATTATTGCATTGTTCTTAATAAAAAGTTCGTATTTTTTTTTCAAATTTATTTATTTTTCTAAATTATTAAATCTATTCATCATTGTATTTAAATAGACCATGAGAGATATAACAATATGCATGTCTTTTCCTACTTTAGGTGTAATTTAACATTTGAAATATTTATATATTTTTTCTTAGTTAAAACCTGAGGTTCACGTATGTGTACCTAAAATTATTATCCTTTTGGCAATATAATTCATATTTTGTTCATTTTATTGTGACTTATGGCAGAAAAATAAAAACTCGGAACAGTAAAAAAAATAAAAAATTTTTTTTTGCTATATTCCTTTACACTTTAGAAGTGAAGAGGGTAATACATAAAACATGGCCTTTTTAGCAAAAATATGCATATCATGTTTCTGTTAAAGTTAATGCAATGTTAAAAGAGACGGCTTAAAAAAGAGTTAAAATCGAATTTCGTTTTTGTTGGCTCCAATTACTTTAATATTATTAAGACTTTGGAGGCTTTAATGCCAAATACTGTAAAAACAAAAGAAATGTATGAAGTAAAAAAAAAAAAAGAATGCATGTAATACATGTGTAAAGAATGCATGTAAAGAAAAACGATAATCTTTGATTTTCTAATCATTTACTTACATCAAAGTAGTCATTACGTATGTAAAATTTCGTTTCATTTTGACGACTCCTTCTTGGTGCGCTAATTTTTTTTGTCCATGAGCGTATTTAATATTGCTAACATTTAAATATAATTATTAACATTTAAATCTTTATTCTTTTCCCCCTACCCCACGTTTAGTTATACAGATTTTTTTGCTTGTGTATTTCTTATTTCCAATTTGCATATTTTTTTAAATTTTTAGATGGACTCGTGATCAAGCTATTAACTACATGGCGGATCGCATTGCTTTATCTTTGAATAACATAGGAAAGGAAGTCGACAGATACATAACATGGCCTGGACAAGTAAATATTTTCAAATTTTTTTTTTAAAAATAATTTAGAAGAGGATTTAAAATTAAGAGTCACAAAGTAATTTATAAAACAGAAATAACAGAATAAAATAGGTTTCGCATTAAATGAGTAGTCCGACATAACGAACAAAAACTGCGTAGTGGGGGTTTAAGAACGATGTCACAACATTTGGGTTACTGAGTAGTGGATAGATATCACTACGTTCAGGCTACTGAAGGATCGGATTTCCCGTTTATGGTAACCCGTGCGGAGGCCTTCTCTCTTCTATGAGGTGTCTCGATACGGTATTTTCGTATTATATCTCATTTCGCATATTCCAAGAGTATATGTGCGAAATAGTACGCATACGTACTATTTCGCACATATACTCTTGGAATATGCGAAAGCTCTCTTTCTCACCCTGAAGGGGTCAATAAATATTTTTATAAATCTTGTTAAATATTTAGCAAAAAAAAAATATATATATATATATGGTTATACATTTAAGGGGTCGGTAATTTATATTTAAGCTGTGAAAACGCTAACGGAATTTGACCAATCACAATTGTGGAAGATAAATATCAGAGATACCAAAACTTATTTGATTGCCGGTGAGGAGTCGGAAAAAAAATGGTTAACGCTTTCAAATTTATACAGGTTCTGTATAAACAGGTTTTGAGGTTCCTTCGCTTTTCCCTTAATTATGACTTGTTAGATTTCGATTTCGTTTTTTTTTTTCTTTTAACCTCATTTGTATGTACATTTTTTATCTTCCTTTTTAACAAGAATTATAAAAATTTAACTTACAGGGTATCCGCGCACCTGGAAAGTCATAACTTTCGGTATTAAACAAAATTTGTCATGAAATGTCACGATTTTAATTATTATTATTTTTTTTAAGAAAATCATGGATTTAGGTCACTGAAAAATCTAATTTTTAAAATACCCCTGTATTTCATGGTGTTCCGAACATCTGAATTTGTAATAAAATCCCCACTCACAGTCATATTTTATTAAAATATAAAATGTTTTTATCATGTTCTTTAAAAGTTATGGTGTTCTTTCAAAAAATGAAAGAAAATACATCATTTCCAGAGCGAATTATCTTTAAAACTTCTGTGATTTCAGAATTTTTGTTATTATTTTTTTGTTTTATCAGTTTAAAATTCTAGCTGAAGCAAGCCAGTCATGGGGGAATTTTTTTAATTCCGTAATGAGAACAGAAATATCAGAAGTATTTCTTTCCTTTCGGATGAACAAGAAAAGTACCTTTAGAATATAATTCTGCAGAAAAAAATTATTTACTTTCGAATTTTTTTCAACTATTTTATAGCTTCAACTCTTTCTTTACTGTTTTTTAAAATTTAAAATATGAGGATGCAGAGTATAACAGTTTTGGTTATACCTATCATTTCAATTTATGTTATTATAATGCTTTTTTAAATTTCTTGTTGTGTTTTTGTCGGAGAAATTAGTAACTTAGTTAAGTAATGAAAAAGTCTAGGAATTAGTCATGAATTTGAGAATCTAAAATGTAGCTGATACCCTGAACTACCTCAGCGGAACAGCTACCTCAGCGGAACAGCGGTTTCTTCCATTAATTACCTTAATCCGAGGTCGGGACGGTTTTGCAAGCTAATTAAACATTTTGGGGTCAATAATTTCAGAAAAGGTTGTCAATTATATGCTAATTAATAGTATATGTATGTATTTTAATAATCAAGCGTAACTGGCATTTTTTTGGAATATTAATATGTAAGAAATTGCTGAAAAATATAAGTAAAACTCAAAAGAAGCTTCCCTTCTTTTTAAATTATTTTTCAATTCGTGTTTGCATAAAAGAATTACGTATAATAGACTTAAAAAAATATATGCAAAGAATTATATAGTTTAGAAATGAAATTTCAATTACATGATTGAAATATTCAAAGCGAATAAATAGTCGGTTATAAGCCTTAATTGAAAAATACCACCCTTTTATTTTTCTTTGTTGCGTGACTTGTAAAGTTGCGTTTAAATAAAAATCTTTTGATCAGAATGAATTATATATTTTTTTAAAAAAAATGATTTATAAATTATATATCATGTCGCTCTGTTAGATAGGAAAGGAAAAGTAAAACTTCGTTTAATTGAAATTTGACTAACTGGACATTGATGCATTTTAGGCTTGTGCTTATAAATATGGCGAAATAAAAATAAAAGAATTGAGGAAAAAAGCTGAAGATGCCCTAGGTAATATATACGATTTTTCTTTTAAAATGGCAAACATTTTTAACATTTAATTATAATGTGTTCGTTTAATTTTTTAGGAAATAAATTCGATGTCCGGGAATTTCACGATGTTATTCTACGAAATAAGGCGCCATTTGCAATATTAGAAAAAGAAATAAACAGATACATATTGGCCACGAAAAATAGTGTGTAGTTTTAAGACAAGATATTGACGTTTGAAGCTTATAAAGATGGGAGTTTCAGGAAATTTACATTTCTGTCAGTATTTAATTGGATAACGTGATTATATTTTGTTATATTATATTGATGTTATTGCAGTATTTCAGATATTAAAAGATTAAAAAATATGTATGACTCATTTTAAATATACATTACAGAAAGAAAAAAAAATTGAATGTTTGCACACTGATGAATTACATAAGAGCAATTTGAAAATATTTTTATATCCTGAAAAGCTTTAAGAAAAAAAAGATTCTCTTTAGTAATATTCAATAAAAAAAAGCACCTTTTAAGCACTCAAAAAATATTTTTGATCACTTTCCAAAAAAAAAAAAATAATAATAATAATAATTAGGATCTGTGCAGTAATAAATTTTTTTTCTCTATCGTTTAAAGTTCTTAATTTATAAACATACGATCAATAAAATTCAAAAACATTTTAAAAAACCTTATATGATCTTGATAAAATAACTAGTTTCTGCTAAATATTGCAGAGAAAATTGTGAAAATCATGCCCTTTTTGTAATTTAGAATGGCAAAGAAAAAATCTTTTTTTAAACGATAGAAAATTAAGCATTTTTTACAAACCCTGAATTAAAAAAGCACCTTCAAGGGCTCTTAAAAAAAGTAAATAAAAAATATGTACCCTTAAGCACTTTATAAAAAACGTAATGCACCCTGTTTATTTAGGATTTCCTTCCAAATTTTGAAATTGAATTTCAGTAACTTTTTCCAATTTATATAGTTTTTTTTTACATGGTTACAACCCCAATTGAAATCTTGCACTTGATCGAAATAAATTGCACTTCAATGAAGTACACTATTTAATACAAAGACCTCTTAATAATTTGAACTGATGAAAGTATGGGTTATGCGGCATACGAATGAAATAATGAGATCAAAAAATTCCAAGGGAATATTTTTTTTATAATTACATTGAACATTTTTATCATACATTCCACTTCAATACACATTTCTATTAAGAAAAGAGAGCAGATACAATGAAACACACCTTTGCTGCACTGAACATAGTCAACATTTTCAACAGTATAATTTTTAACATTAAAAATATTTTATGAAAATGAATGTGTTTTTTTTTATAAATGTGTATGATATCACTATGATAATAGCATGCACCAAAGATAACACATGCTCGAACCTCGGATACAGTGTTTTTTTCAGGTGAACCCTTTAGTTAACAACATTTTCATTCCAAAACTGTAGTGCAGTTTTGAAACAACAGGAAGATACAAAACTATTGTTGTTAGTAAAGCAATGTTTGGTTAAATTAAAAATGAACATGAAATTCCTTAAACTGATCATGACAGTTATTCTAAAAACATTCATACAGACAAAAAATTATCCATCGCTTTATAATCAGTAATTTATAAATTAATTTCATTTAAAAGGAAAATAACTGCATACTGAATGAAAAAAAAAAAAATTTAAAATTAGGCAGATGACGATTCAACGTAATATAAACATCAAGTTTTATAACTAATTTTTTTTTTATTTCTGTCGTATAAGATGCGTTTAAAAATCGAAACATTCACACAATTTTAACATGGCACAATCATAAAATATGTATTCAATACAATTTAAGCTTAATGCATGTTTTGGAAGCACAATGTGGGTAAGGAAATATGACTAGCAACAATATGAAAGAAAACAACACATGATCAAATCAATAAACTATAGTTTAACAATTGTGCAGACAAGGTAAAATTAAGAGAGAGTCAATTGTTAAACCGATTCTAACAGACTCATATCCTCTTAATTCGGTTTTAATTGATGTTAATTTCTCTTTTTCCATTAAAATCATCAACAATGCCTCATTATGATTAATTTACACTATATTATTAATAATAAATTTTTTGAAAATTGAGATCTGACATTAATGACAAAGCAAGTATTGGTGAAAATATTTGGAAACAATCAATTAGCAAAAATATTTAGACAAAAAGCAGTTATTTGAAAATACAGATAAAAACTAATCAATATTATCCAGTACAGACTTATCAATTATCTGATGGTAACTTATTAATTATCCACAACTTGCAGGAAATATTATTTATAAAGAGATGGCAGCTTTTTAAGCACATGTTTCTTTTTCAGGATCAAAGTTTTAAAAACTAGTATCAAATAATTATAATTTAATAAGATTTGTTTAATTTTTAATTGCATTATTTTAACTTTTCATCTTTATAATTACGTACACAAAATGAATATAGACATAGTATAAATTCAATTTTAAGTTATATATCTTCATTTTTAATAAATTTCATCTTGAAATAAGATTTTTAGTCAGATATGAAGATTTCATCTCAAGTAAATAATTTACTATTATCTCAAGTAAATAAAAAGTCATAAATGAAAATTATGTAAGTTGTAATTAAATTTAATTCAAGTATGTAAAAAGGCAATGTATTTTACAAATTTTACAAGAAAAATTGATATTTCTTAATTCTCATAAAAATATATTCTAATTTTTTCTACACTCCATGATTACAAACGCTTGCTTTTTTGGTTAATAAATTATTTTAATCTCACTGAAGTGCTCATAGATAATCAAAATGTGGATACCTTTAGAATTGAAAATTGCAGCATTCCTTAACAAAAATAAGCTGCCTACAATATTTTAATTATGAACAAAGCTCTTTTATATGAATTTTAGATTAATATAAATTTTCGCAACACACTTTCAAGCACATATTTTAATAAATGAATGAGCATAAAAATGTTTTTAATTTCAGTTCTAAAATCCTTTTTACAACAATATATATAAGGTTTTAAAAAATGCTTCTATTTTTCTTAAATATTTGAGCTAACTACATTGAGCTAGAATGTATTTGTTTACAAATTTATTAGATATGAAAACATTCGAACTGTCAGTTGAATCAAAGTAAATAAGAACTACAATTTAACCCAAAACTACTAAAAGTTTGGTTAATAATTGTTTTTTAATAACCAAAAATTTACTTCGATAGATATTTCAAATAATGAAAAATTCCTAATTGGGAAATGGAGTTTAAAATTAGTGTTTACATCTTAGCAGTAGTAAAAAATGTGCTGCCTGTAAATTTCTAGTAAAATTTGAATTCAAATTTAGATTAACACTTTTAGGTAAACGAAGCACAAATTCTGCTCATAATAGTTACATAACAAATAAATACATTTCAGTATTTATTTTCAATGAAATGGCTTAAGATTGCTTATAAAAAAAGAAAAAAAAAAAAAAAGAAAAAAAAGAAAGAAAGCACCTCAGAGATTTTATGCTTAATAATGTTGGCTTCTATATCTTTATGGGTCAACATTGTGCACTTATAAAAAATGCAGCAAAATAATGAATTCCCATAACTAGAAATTAAAGAATCAATAATTATTTGACAACAAAATAGTTCTTGGATCGTAATTTTGTTAAATACTGAATTTAGAAATACTTCAGTGAAGACTATTAAAAAATCTATTGATATACATAATTATTACTTAACATTAAATTATAATCAGCAACATGAAAAATCACATGATTGATATAATCAGCATAATTTGAATGTATACAAAACAAAAATTATCAACAGTTTGATCATAATTTTACAGAGTAATAAATTTCAAATCTTTTGATAAAGGTATAAATTTTTCAACCTATGCACCAATCTCTTTTGGAAAAAAAAGCTGTAATTCGGCACTTGATGATATGACAACAACGCACATATAGGTCAACAAAACAAGACACTGAGTAATATGAAACGGTATATATATTCAAGATATTATACACATATGCCACACATATACATAACATGCTATATACAAACTTCTATACAAGATAATGGTATGAACAAAAAGAAAAAAAATGATTTGAAGAAGTAGTATGCAAGATGAAAGTTTATGCACATATGAGCATACTTATTTTTCCCCCAAAACTGAATATGTGATATAAAATGATAAAAACAACCATGATGAAATTTAAACCTCTTTAAAGAACAAAAAATTTTCAAGTATGTTTCAACATTTATAAATATTTAAAATGAAAGTTTCATAAAGAGTAATTAAATATGTCAAATATTCCATTTATAAAGCAAAAAATAACCAATTTAATTACATAATTAACATTGCAATATATGTTTAATTGTTAATTTATCACCGGATGATTATCTTCAGGTAGAAGAACTAAAAGTATAACACTTGTTACACATGCATTCAATTACTATAATTTATCAAAATATATATTTTTTGTTGTTGTTTCTATGTTTGAACAGCAAACCAAAATTACATATATAGTTTAATTAATAAAATAAGTTTAAGTGAACCAAAAATCTATTTAAATTAACCAATTTGTAGATAAAAAAAAAAAGCAATTGATGTATTTTTAATTAATATTTTCATTACAATTGTTTCAAAAAGAACATTAGAAGAACTTAAAACTTTTTGCAACAATTCAAAAATAAATTAAGGAAATACATTTATGAAATTAAAGCACCAACTATGAAAAACATTAGTAGAAACTTTTAATAACTTAAAATAAAAGTCAATCCAGTTTTACAACACTCGGTAGTAAAAAGGAATCCTTCATAAAACTATAACAAACACGATAAAATGTTAGAACATTAAGGAATAATTAAAAAATAACTATATATTAATGTATGTTTGAAGTTTTTAAATCAAATACAGGTACTGTAAACAAGCACAGAATGAGATAAATTAGAAAGTCAGATTTAAATATTTATGCTTTAACTGAATAGTTATGTTAAAATTCTCTTGTTGCTGAAATTTACTTGAAAAGTTAGATTTTTTTTAAAAAGTATAATTGTACCTTCAATTTTTGAAATTAATCTTCAATAATTACATCACAAAAGTGTGACAATTTATAAAATAACTAAGTAATTTACTAAATACGTTATATACTACGACTATTCCAGCTGATGAGGTCTTAAACTCATTTTGGACATATAATAAAAATCTCTTTAAATTATATGTTAAAAATCTGAGCACTATATGGAAAATTTAAAGTATTAGAAAACTTCTTATTTTATAAATAAAACCCAAAGAATAACAATAGATCGATAACAACCCATTTTTAAAATGCATAAAAATTTATTTATAATAAATAAGAAAAACAATAACAAGGCTGGTGCTTTGTAAAATACAAAAACTCCAAATACTATACTGTTAAAATAGTCTTTTAACACATAAATAGAGTTAAAGATTGCTTTCATTACAATTTTATTTCCCTTTCTTTTATGTTGTTGGTTAAACTCCAATTTTTAAGAAATAAATTAGTATTTTTATCATGAAAAATAATTTTTACTTTTAAAACTCTTCACAGCTCAGTCTAATTTAATTAAAATATTTAAAGGACCAGCCTCGTCAGAGTAAAACATATTAAGTAAATTTCATCATTACCAAACATTTAAGGAGAAAAAAAGATGAAAACGCAGCTGCAAGTTTGATTTAGAATACATTTGGTTTTTCATTAAAAAAAGGGCACTTTAAACGCTGCAAAATTGCAGGAATATTCTTGAATTTTCGCCGGCAGTTCCAGGGCTCTTACATCAGAAGTCTGTTCTACAGAGAAGCACCCTACTCAGGAACTTGATGTGGCACGCGTACACGAGGCACAAGAATGTATTCTAACGTAGTTTTTTGTGTGTCAGTTTCGTACACGATCACACGCCTGTCTCTGTGACGTGTGATGGGATGTTGAGGCGTAGACCTTCGAACTCAGAGTTACTGTCATCACCAATGCTGAGTTTACTGCCAAGGTTATCACCACCAAAGTCGTTGTCACCGTAACCATCCGGATCATAATTTGGAAGAGCAAGGGGCACTTGAGAGTCGGTATGTTTTGGACTGTGTGTTTCCATGCGGTGCATCTGGAGTTTGGGTCCCCAATCTTCTGTGGGTTCCAGTAAGACACGAATGCGCTAAGAATATGACCGTATATTAGAAAACAGAACACAAATTATTATGATTTTTTAATTAATATCTAATTTATAATTATACAAGATATCACAAAATACTTTGTGTGCAATATAGAGCAATACTGCCAACAATGCTTAATTATATTTGACACTTTTTATTAAGATAATACCTGTAAAATGGGGCCTTTAGCTTGGCATATTTTCAGCACAACAACGAAAGGTATGGCAGCAACTGATATTAGGGAAAATATCCATCCAACAGCAGTAGCCCAATTAGGATAAACATATTCACCATACTCAGTAGGCTTTAGGTTCATACAGGAAAATATGAGAATACACTACAAGTAATAAATAATTCAAATTAGGTGAGATGAACATTATTATTGATAAACTGCCAAGATATCTAGTAAAACAACATTTTTGACACATAAGGAGTCCAATTAATGAATTTTTATAAATCCTAATTTCATTTTTGCTATGATTCTTTAAGCATTAAAATAAGCTGCAATGAGATTTAGCAAAAGTCATTTTAAAGTTTAATCTCAATACTTAAACCCAACAAAATAAAAAATTATGCATTATTAAAAATAATAATAATCCATACACTTTTGAAATTTCTTAAAACATATTATAAAAAACACTGCAATTGAACAGATTACAATATGAAACAAGATCAATAGAAAAAGGAAAGAATATTGTAATATTCGTTCCTTTTTCTATTGATCTTGTTTTATTTTTATTATTTTTAAATTTGTCTTAAGAACATTGACACATATATAACAATACATTAACATACTTTAAACATTACTTAATATTTATACAAACATTTACAATATATTTTTAATTATTGCATTTAGAGCAATAAAATTTTATAAGTCCTTCTGATTTTTTCAAAAAAAATGTATTCAACTTAATAGTATCAATTAATCTTTATTTATTTAAATTTTTCACACCATTATTGATAGAAATCAGATAGGTTGTCATCAAGATTTTTTCCCAGGTGCCCACCATCGAAAGACATCATTTACTAAAATTTTTAAGTGATTACTAAGATAGAATTATTTTAACCTTTATACTATGCATTTTCATACCTTTACAGCACATACAGATTAAATGCTTAGCAATAATCTTTTTTTTAAAAATTTAGCATAAGATGTGGAAAAAATTTACTATATAACTACATTGAATTAGGAAAATAAAGAATAACAATTTTAATTGTTTATGGTTCTACAAATTTAATTATTACATGAAGGAACTTTAGACTTCATTGCATAAAACTACATAATTCTTTGAGATAAAATTAAATTTCAATAAAAACATTTAAAATCACCAATGGTAAAAATTTTATTAAAAACATTAGGTTAATAAAATTTCAACTATTTATGATTCTAAACGATTGTATTGAAATTTAAGTTTATTACATTAATTCATTTTAAAAAATTTTATCGATAATTTTTTTAAAAAACATCTATAATAAATTCAAATTTTGAATATGGAGCAAAACATGACTCACAAGCATGCCATTAGCGATTGTATAAATAAGGGCCAGCTAGATAGTTTTGCCTTGTAAAATGTTGCACTTTAAATCAAACTACCAAATTTTTTTCTTAAATTTGAGAGCTAACGTATTAAATTTCCCATAATCCATGAGTCTCAATTGCTATAAAAGCTCAAAGATAGCATAGGACACTTTTTGAAGACTGAGGCACTGTTGACTAAGACTTTCTACGGATGAACCCCATAGAGAGTTTGACTCTAGAGATTCAGTAGACAAATGACATTTTAGTGTAAAAAGAACATGAAATGTTAAAAGTATTGAAACATTTCTGGTATTCTTATTCTTATGACTTAATGGTATGTGAGCAAAATTTTTATATAAAGAATGAATTACCCCAATTAGAGCGGGAACAACAAATTTCCACACAATTCTCCAATAGTGGTAAGGATATGGATAGAATCCCATCATTACTTTCATGTCATTGAGAAACCGCTCAGCCCCTAAAAGAAACAGATTTAAATACAAAATATTTTAAAAAACTTAAACAATAAACAGAATTTTATAAAATGTGCATAAAATAAGAAAATGTGATGTAAGATAACTATTTAGTCTTGACAGGACTAGTTATAAGTAAAAAATTAAAAACAATGTGTGTGTAAAAAAAAACATATATATATATATATATACAGTGAAACCTCTGTTAAGCAGACNTTTAAAAACTTAAACAATAAACAGAATTTTATAAAATGTGCATAAAATAAGAAAATGTGATGTAAGATAACTATTTAGTCTTGACAGGACTAGTTATAAGTAAAAAATTAAAAACAGTGTGCAAAAAAAAAAACACACATATATATATATATATACAGTCGGACCCCGATTTAACGAATTCATCGGGACAGGAAATTTTATTCATTAAATCGGGGTAATTCGTAAAATCGGGGTTGAAAATTTTTTTTTTGTACATATGTATTATTAAAAATTACTAGTTATAAACGACTATCTAAGATAAGAAAGGAATCTCCTGTTTGACTCATAGTCCAAGTGACAAACCCCCGGAAAATGACCTTGCAAGTGTAATGTCTTACTGACTCTGCCCACCTACCCACGACGAATTTTGTTTTTCACTGTTGCGAGTTTTTCTTTTGTTTGAGACGAATATGCACTTTTCCTATTTTATTCCTCCCAGGAAAGATTTTTTTCCCTTTAGAATCTGCCAAATACAAAAAAATGCAATATTTTTCTGATCAAAATTAATGAAAAATATTTTTTCCGGATGCTGAAATAATTCGTTAATTCGGGGTTAATAATTCGTTTTTGACTCTGTTTTTGCTGGGGTTGAAAAAAAATTTGTTAAATCGCGAAATTCGTTAAATCGGGGTCCGACTGTGTGTATATATATATATATAACACTCAAAGAAAAATATGCATGCTTACTTACCATACACCCAACCAATCACAATGACTTCAACAAATCCAATTATAAGGGCAGAAAAACTAGCACAGTAGTTATCCATCAATTGTAAAACATACATTCCTCCCTACAAAAATGTATCATAAAAAAAATAATTAAAATGCAGTATAATAAATTTTTAAGCAAAGATTAACTGCTAGGTTTTTCTAAATATAGAAAATTTTGGATAATATTTAAAGCTCACAAAAATATTGTGTGTTTTTCAAATACTTTATTATTGCTCCGCCACAATGGTTTAAGCTATTATTGTGAAGAATCAAGTTCTGAGCTAAGTGGCAGTTTGAAGCTCACTTTAGTTTCAGATCAATGTGGATCAGCTTTACTGAGAAGTAAAGGTGGCCGGTGCATAGAGCTGGTAAAATTGCTACCATCATGTTATTAGTCACAAAATTATAGAGTCTTAACTTCCTTGACCCCTTAACCAACAACTGACTACTTTAATTATTATTGTTAAACGCTTATTATTATGTTTAGAAGCAACTTTGTCTTGCCAGCATTTGGCTGTAAGATTTTAACAGAAATTTTTTTTTGTAAGATTTAAAAGAAACAACAATATGACAACAAAAATTACAGCAATCAATTAAACCAACAAAATATCAAAAGGCAAAAATCTATCAATTAAGGAAACAATATTATATAAACTTGACTTGCACATGGTTTCTAATACGTATACTTACCTGTGCACAGAGGTACACCAATAAAATGACTATAACTTTTATCATCAAAATGCATACATACAATTTCATGATGGCTTTGAGAGATTAAAACCTAATCCTGCTTCGGAATATTAATTTCGAAAAATTATGTTAAAACTTTAGTAATTCAAAGAAATTAGGAACAATGGTAATGATGAACAAATTTAACATAAACTAAATTGTAATATTTAACATGAAAAGTAATTTTTGACAGGAAATATTATAAAGTACATAAACCCTAATGTACATATGAATAAATTTCCTACATGCTCAATTTTATTTTCAATTTAATATGTTGTTCTTGTGGTCTAAAATAAACATAAAACAAGACATATAAAATCTAATTTCAATAATAATTTTATTACCTTTGTACAAATGACAAGACCACATAGATAGCTTACTAAGCACACACCGGCTACAACGTAAGACTTAGCTCTTCTTAGACGTTCAGGAAACGTATCCACAATTGAGGTAGAAACGGTTTCAATTAGGGTGAACTATTTAATGGAGTAAAATAGAGGTAAATTAAGGCAACTGTTTATTTCAAACTTTATTGAGTTTTCACAAGACAATTTTGTTATTACCTGAGTACCCAATCCAAGTGTAAGTAACATGAAGAAAAAGAGGAAAGCCCAAAGTGGTGAAACTGGTAACCGTGCAACAGCTTCAGGATATGCAATAAAAGCCAAACCAGCACCTGAAATATTTTAAAGATAGAGACTTAAGAAAAGTCAAATAATTCAAACCTTAAACAAATAATGATAGATAGAATACTTCGACTTCCCCAAAAAGTTGAATAAATTTTAACCCATTGGCACCAACATCGCAACTTTTCATTAATTTTTTACATTAAAAATAAATGCTGTTAAATCAAAAATTGCTGCCTTTTTATTTTAAAAAGTTTTATAAAACCATAAAATTTACAAATCAAATGAAAAATTTCTTTTACGAAGCTTAAAATTACGGAAAAAATATAAAGAAAAGAAAATTAGAATTGTTACAATTGACTGAGAGTTGACTTAAGAGAACAATGTACAGTCAACAATGAACAAACCATTTACGGCAAATTCTCTTTCCCCTCAATAGGAGATTTAAAGTTTAAAGTATAGAAACAAAATTATTTCAGATAAACCAAGAGTTAACTATGAGACTTCAAAAGCTGATTTTTTCCCTTCAAAATATCAAAATGCAAGCAAATTATTTCAGGATTAATAAATCCCCCACTGCATAATCCTGATTAATCCTACCACGATTTTTGCCTAATTTATCTGAACTCAATTTTTACTAGACCTAAAATTATTAAAGGAAATGAAAGAGAATTTGCCATGAAATTTTTTCTTTCCTGATATACCATCCACTTTAAGTATTTGTTTAACCCTCTTGCTTGCAGTACATAGTGAAGCCTATCATTCTGGTTCATTAGTTCTTCCAGTTGTAAGCAAGAGGCCAATACAAACAAACTATTGTGACACCTTATTGACATAGAAATACAAATTAATTGTACAAATAAAATAAAACTAAAAATACCTTGCGCTGCAACTTCTTTAACAGGAACACCCATTTCATGAGCCATAAATCCTACAATGCTGAATATCACAAAACCAGCAAAAAAGCTTGTGGCACTGTTTCCAAAAGTAATAAACAAGGCATCCCTACAAAATACATTTTAACAAAATTTCAGAATTTTTTTTTGTTTTTAACCACACATACATTTTGAATAGTTCTGCAAAAACCTAAATTTAGAAGGAAAAAAATGTCTCACTTGAAGCAATTGTTATGGAAACGATTATAGCTTGCAAGAGTGATGAGACCACCCCAGCAAGGTGATAAGGAGAAAAAGATTTGCATTGCAGCATCTCCCCATACCTAAAAGTTAAAATAACCAAAGATAAGGTAATGCATGGAGTTTTTTCAAAAATGCAAAGTTGTCAATATATACGGTAGATTTCAGTCAAAAATAAAAGGACATTTGACGGAAACACAATTTAAAAAATAAAATAAAAAATTTCACTTGTCATTTTTTACTAAATATAAGCACAAAATATATATTTTTGCTAAAATGACAAATAATTGGGTAAAGAAATTTTATAAATATGGTTAATTGAAAAAAGACATTATGACTGACGAAAGACAGCAAGACTCACCTTTGCGTCTAATAATCTTTCCCATTCTGGTGTAAGATAAAACATTATGCCATCATAAGAGCCTTCCAAGGTAGTCCCACGGATCAACAGAATAATAAGTACTAGATAAGGGAAAAGTGCAGTGAAATACACAACCTGAAATGAAATTAAAATATCAGAATGAAATATGATCAGGCTGCAAATAAATTTAGCAATAAAATGCACATTACAAACATAAACATAGTGTATAGACAAGCATTAAACTACAGAAGAAACAAAAAATAACTAGGGGAATAAATATTCTCAGTTAGAACAGTGCAGTACAGTGTTTTAAAATTGAATCAAAATAAATCAACTAATCTTTCACGATAAAATTATTATTCTTCATTCTGAATTAGAAATAAGATGTCTATCCCTAAACAGTTCTAACATTTCTGTTTGATTTCCTAAACATTTCTGTTTGAATCCCTAAACATTTCTGCTCGAATTTCACCACAATACAGTTATAAAAATTAATAGTTATAATTACTATGATTGAGGATAATCATTATTATATTAATGTTTATTACTATCGAATGTCTTTGGCTTGAAAACATCTAAAAAGACAGTTATTTTTTCATAAGTTAATGGTCACATATCAGTCCTATTCCCTCTGTATTTTAGAAAGCACACACAAAAAAAAAAGCTTAGACTTTGAAAGATTAAAACTGATCGATTCAATTCTCCTAAATAAGGAATTTCAACTGAAAAAAATAAATAAATAATAAATAAAAATAAGAAAGGGAATTTATTTGTTGTACTTTTCTCTCAGAGTATCATACAGAAACCCCTGTACCAAAATGGTCCCCAATTTGTGACGATATTTATATCCTAACAAACATTTCTTTTCAGCAATTGCAGAAGAATTCTATTGCTCATGCCTGCAGAGGACTAAATTGTATTTTTTCAGCATTACATTATTTCATATGTGGGAATTCAATAAAAACTAAAGTCAACAAGGGTCCAACTCATTGGGCACTAGCTAAAAAATAAAAACCTTATTTTCATTAAGGTTTGGCGCTATTTTAATTGACATTACTTAAATACTCATTATGCGCTTAGGCATTAGTTTTGAGAATTAGAAAATTGAAAGCTATCTTTTACCTTTCCCATACTTTTTACACCTCTCAGTAAACAAATTAAAACGATTGACCAACAGGCAAATAAACATAAAGCCAACTGCCATCTCATTCCTCCCAGATCATGTAAGCCATCTGTGATTCCCAGAACAAAGTTGCTGCAAGTAGAGGAAAACAAAGAATTAAAATCTGCAAAAGTTAAGCCTGTATAAATGAAATTCAAAGTTAAATAAATTTATTTCTTCTTCAACAGTTCTGGTGATCAAAGATTTGATGAACGCAATCTATAAAATGAAAACATACAGAATCAATTATGTATTACAGATAGAAAAGTAAATATGCTCGCCTTAGAAGTACTTCCATTATTTTTTCAATTCATAAGAATTTCTTTTAATTAATGGCTTTAATTTTAGCTTTTAAAACGTTAAAGCTTATACATTTTTAAGAATCAGAATAATAAATTATGTAAATAAAGTATTACATTAGAAGTCACTTATTTATGAGGGGGGAAACAAAAACTTAATCTAAATCTGATAAATTACAATTCAGGAAGATAAGAAGGGGAAAATCAAAACCAGTTTGATTACCAGAAGAATTTTGAAGGTGCTTTCGAAACATTTTTCATATTTTCTCAACTTGAACAAGCAATAAACAGGTTTTCATGCTTAAAATAAATTGTTAATAACTTCTAAATTTGCTCTTAGTTTAAATATTAATGTGTAATCTCTATGCAAACAGCTTTCTGATGATGATAGTAAAAATTTATATTGAAGGGAATAATTTAGAAATATCCTGCATATGGAAATAGAGTTAAATTAGTTTATAAGAAGAGAGTTTCTCTCAAAATATTTCAAATTTTTTAATAGGATAGCGAGGGAGGTATAAAAATATAGGAGGCTACCAGAGTTTTGGTAAAACAAGAGCAATGAATAATAAGCATACCACTACATGAAGACTATTTATGTTAAACAGTTTAATTTAGTTGGTATAATCTAATAGTCATAAAATATTAAATTTAATTTTATTATTTCTTATCAAATCAACACGTTTTGACTCTTGAAAGTAAAAGGCAAATTATTGTGCACTGTCTATTATCTCAAAATTTAGATAAAAAAAAGTATTTCTAATTATAATTTAGAGCAATTTCAGGTTGATAGAATTAACTACATTATGTGCTTTATTTTTAATATGCAAAATTTAAAAACATTGAAATTAAACATGTATATATTTATTGTTACTATAAAATAAACTTTACTCAAACAAACAGTAATAGGAAAAAGAGAACATAACTTTTTACATTCTTATTACTTATTATTATTACGGACTACCACGATAAAAAAGAATACATTAACTGTAAATTTCAAAAGCAATGAAGATAAGTTTTTAAAAAATATTTGGTTTTTCCTCAAATATTTCCACAAAAATACTTTCTGAAACCAGAAAAAGTGTTTTAGCACTAACAAAAATATAATGCAAGTTTACACATTTTTGTATTTATGGGAAAAAATTTTCTTAATATTTCATTTTTGTAACTATTGCTTATGACTGAGTAAAATGTTGTATCAAAATGATTTTCAAAATTTTTGACAACATCGTAAATTTTGCTTATTTAAGATCTCAGAAACTATTCATCAAATTTTATATTCATTCTATAATATCATACATAAAATTTTTATTGCATTATAAAATTCTTTGACACATCTATTTTTGAAAATGTAAAATATCGTGAGTAAAATATTTTTTTAAAGATACTAAATTTAAGACATTTATATTTTAGAACTTCCTGAGCAATGGGTAAAGTCAATTTTGACAACAAATTTAAAAATCTTTATGTAAAATATTGTTGTTAAAAAACTTTCATCAGAAATTTTTTAAATAAAGTGAAATATATTTTATTTTGATTAACAAATTCCCCAAACTAAAATTCAAAAGAGGTGAAACTATGATATAAATTATTGTATTTTGATTCAAGTTAACACATAAAAATTAATCTACAATGTATCTAAATGATACAAAATAAATCATCATTTCGAAACTGTGTCAACTAACATTTTATTGAGTTGAAAAATCTTTTAATGCTTGTATTTATTTATAGTGACATATGTTAAAAATACATACAGAAAAAAGAAAGAAAAAAGTGCAAAATATAACTTAGAAAAATATTTTATACTTCATCAATATTCTTAATAAAAAATATCGGCATTTCTTTTTGGGATCTATGTAATACAAGTTTAGTATAAAAATAATGATCAAATATTACAAAATCAAATAGTAAAATGATTGTAAGGCACCCCATAATTATACTTACGAACACACGAGGGGTTGGGCCTTTAAAAATAGCAGAGGAAATCATTCTTACTGAAAATATTCATCGCTGGCCATCTTTGAATTGTGTTTAGTGAATTCAGCCCAGTCTTCAGGGGATACATTGACCTGTTGCACACACGTGCCATTTGACAGTACAGTTCCGTTATGAGAGGTGCAGTTCTTTGTATCAAACTTTCTACAAGCTGTGATTGAAACATAAAAATTCATGAATATATATATTGCAGGAATAAATGAATTGATATTTAAATATGGAATGATTCAAAGATTTTTAAGCAATTGCTTAAAAAACTGCAACCACTGCTCAGATTTTATACTTTTTGTATCCTTGTTAAAAATTTAAGTTTTACATATATTCAAGCTAAGACCACAAATTTATTAAGTGAGGACAAAAACAATGCTATTAATATATATAAATTACTATTAATGAATAAGGATTCAAACCATCAGAACAAGTTTGAATGATGGGTAAATTTTGAAGATCTAATTTTTTTCTCATCAACTGATACGAGTTCAATCAAACAGGTTTTGATACCATTTTTTTCCTATCTTGAAAATTAGTTTGCAAATCCCCCAAATATTTCTCTTTACGAATATTCAAAATGATATTGATTACGAATATTCAAAATTATACTGATTACGAATATTCAAAATGATATTGATTGCGAATATTCAAAATGATATTGATTATGAATATTCAAAAAAATATATATTAAGAGCAGTGGTTCCAGAATACTTACATATTTTATTAAGAGCAGCATATTAATTATAAATTAGGCTAGAAATTAAGATAAATTAATTAATAAGTAGCATGCATTAATTTGTAGAGATGTATCTATGCCAAATGAGAATACATATGTTTTATTGATATTTTTTAAAACATTAAGCTGTATGATGTAAAATTCCTCATCATGTGTGATAACCTAACACTACTTTATAAAAATATATGGTGGAAGTGGAACAAAAGGAGGGTAATAAATTAAATACAAAGATTCATTTTACATAAAATTTTGAAGTTTAAAAGTTTATTAAGAGTGTTACAAATTAGTTAAATGAAAGTAGTAATAAAAACTAAAACCTAATTTTTGACACTAATGATTAACACAGCATTGAAAATAAATTTTTATTCTTTCAAAGAAAAAAATCACATTTAATTTCTAAATGTAATACAACATGATAATGAATTCTTGTCGAACTTAATACAATCATAGCATACAGATCATTCAAAAATGAAATAAATGCAGAAAATGCTATAAAATTTTTTTTTTAAACTTCTAATATAACTTAAAAAAATTTCTAAGAAGGAATAGTTTACTACAACTTGGAATCCTAAACAAACATTGATTTAAAAAACAACTACAACTATAAAAAATTTTGAAACTTATTTACAGAACTTACAGTATAATTGAGTCAAATTGTACAGAATGTATAGTAATAGAAAGTAAAATAGACATACAGTTTTTAAGGCACCAAGCAGTCAGTGCAAAGCACTGAGGTTTGATACCCTGTGATGACTTGAGGCTTACGCAGCTTCAAATAGTTTGTATGGAAGACAAGAGGTCGAGATGCAATGCTTGACTACGATCGGCCAAAACCTGCTGTAACATGATTATGGAGCCTTAAACTCTTATGACCCCCCTAGCTCATAACAAACTGTTTGAATGCTTTATTTATTTATTTTTTAAAATATATGCATACTATACATTAAACTTCTGAAAAACAATTTTCCATAAATAAGTATCTAGAAAAATAGAAAATAGTTTTAAAAACTTGTCTCAAAATTATGTTATTGAATTACAAATTTTGAATTAGAAATAAAAACTGATTGTATGGAACCAATGTATAAATTGTAAGATTAGCTAAATGACAATTATAGAGAATATGCATAAGTGATATTTTGAAAAAAAAAAACATTTTTTCTTCTTCTTTAAGGTATACGAACATGTTAAGATTGGCAGTAATTATAGAACATTAATTTATATGAATGGCTAAGATTTAAATGCAAAAAACATGTTTAATCCATATCTTAATGTTTCTATACATTTTATTAAAGCTTATTTTTTAAAGTTTAGTAAATTCAGAACATGATTTAACATTGTGATCGTCCAGTTAAATTAAAAAAAGTGAATAATTTTTATTGAAATTTTTTTAAATCTTTTTTTATTGATGAATTACTAAATGCCATAAGTGATAATAAATGTGTATGCATATTAACTAAAGTTCGAACCTTCAGTATTCCACCAATTGTCACAAGAACTCCAAGGTAAGTGAGTTGTAAAAGAAGAAAGCAAATAGAACAGAGCCCAGGCTAATATCATATTGTAGTATATTCCTACTAAACCTGACATTATGAACATGGCATATCCAAGACCTAGAAAGAAAGAAATATAACATTAAATATTAAACCAACAAAAATGTGTCTGCACAAAAAAACTCTAGATTGGCATTTGGTTCTTATTTAGCATTTGGATTATTTGACTGAATTCAAACATTAAATTAGTCCAATAGCAGTCGAATAATTTCCTCTATCACAATTTGTTTTTTAAATGAGCAATGAGGAGATAAATTATAATGTCTTTTTTTATCTATCATTTTAATCTTAAAGTTTAAGACACATAAATTACACAATGTAAATCTAACATTTGCTAATGGTTGTTTTCAAATAAGCAATTTAACTAGTTTTTGGCATCTATTTTCGATCGTCAAGTACATTAGAATTGTCAACAAAAAGTTCACGTTTTTTAAAACTAATATCAGAAATATGGTATAATTAATGGATAATAATTTCCTACCTTATAAAAATACCCAAAATACAACTATAATAAAGCATATTTGGTCAAAAATACATAGATTTTACAAATACAATAGAAATATATATTTTTTTTATCTCACATACATAAATTAAATTTTAGTAATACATTGTGCAAATTAAATGATTTGAAAAGAAGAAAGGGGAAAAAAAAGCATACCTTGAAATAATGGACATATTTTCCATATCGTAACAGGTCCTTCACTTGCATACTGCCCGAATGACAGCTCCATTAAGAACAAAGGCAGTCCAACAAAAAGCATCATTATTACGTAAGGTATCAAAAAAGCACCTAAAATAGACAAGCATGATCAGTAATTTAAAAAAGCTTAATTAATTGACGATTATTAAATGACCCTTATACGTTTCATTCTTGTTTATTTATTTTTTTATTTATACTTCTCAAGTCAGTTGGCTCAAACACCTAATTTGATAAAAGTTTATAAAAATGTGTTGAATGAAAGTAAAAACTGTGTTGAACAGTAGCAAAATTAGACAGTGCTATAAGCTGTGGTTAACGTATAAACAGGGAGAAGAACAGAAACTCCTGAGAGAAGAAAAAAAAGGAGAAAAGATCACAAAGATAGAACAGGGTGAGTAGCCAAATCTTTCAACGAAAAATAAGTACCCTTCAAGTACTGTTTAAGCACTCAAAAAATATTTTAAAGCACTATATACATTAAAAAACGCAAAATAATTTTCAAAGACTTCTCATAATGCATAGCGTTTTTAAAAAGTGCTTAAAGATGCTAATTTTTGATTTTTAAAAGCCCTTAAAGGTGCTTTTTACATGATCATGATAAATTATGTAAAACATGTAAAATGATTGGCGCTTTCATACGCTATGGACCGATGATACGCCGAAATGGATTGTGGTTGAATGAATTGCAAAAACGTTAAATAGAACAATGTGAAAAGTACGCTTTTGCGTAATACATGGCGAAAATCGACATGGTAAAGAATAATAACATCATTTCCGAAAAGGGAAAATTAAGCACTTTTTAAAAACACCCAATGAGAAAAGTACCTTTAAGGGTTTTCAAAAAACGAAAATAAGCACCTTTAAGCACTTTTTAAAAACAATACGCACCATGAGAAGTATAGGGGTTGTGGAATCAGTATTTATTTATATAAGTAACCATCCAGAAGTAAATAAACAAGCATGAAAATAAAATTCAAATTATAAAAACGACGAATATCGTGTATTTCGCGTTTAAAAAAAAATACGAACACATTTTTATTAATTTTTACAAAGAATTAAAACGAAACGAAAAAGCAAAAAATTTAGCTAAAAATATTAAATAAAAATATTTAAAAATAAATAAATAATAAAAATAAATAAATAAAATACAAAAATAAGTCAGTTTTCAAAATGCCATTTTTTTAAGTGAAAAGAACCTATTAAATGAATGGTGTTATTACCATTATTACTTATTATATTGTAGCTGAGGAAAATATGCGCTATTTATATTATGCTTATATGTTTTGATTGTAATAAGCGTAGCCTTGTTGGCACATCATTTTTGAACTCATCACCCGAAGATAGTTTAGTGAAAAATTTAATAATCCATTACCTAAATATATATACAAAAAACTTACCCCAAAAGACTACCATTTGGTATTAAAAAAAATCAAGGAAAAAACCCATTTAAAGCAGGCATGAAGTGAACAACGTACCTCCACCGTTTCTGTAGCAAAGGTATGGAAATCTCCATATATTGCCGAGACCAACGGCATAACTGAGACAGGACAACAAAAACTCTACTCCACTAGACCAGTTACCCCTCTCTCGATTTTCATCCACATCAGTGAAAGGAACACCAAAGTTTCCGTCTGGTAAATCTATGTTGGGTGGTGGCATCGCCACCGACCGATTATCCTAAAAAAACAAACAAGAGATAAATATTTTTAATTTAAAATCCTAATCTTAAAATCACAACATTTCTGATTAGGAAAAAAAAAAGGGTTAATAGTGAGAGATAACACAGAAATTAAAACAGTTTGAACTATTTGGGCAAATAAGACACAGAAACGAAAGCTGTTTGGATGTTGCACTACGTAGGCACATCTGTATAAAAACTTCCCAGCCAAACATAGTTTCTTCATTTAATAACATGGAGAAAACCAGTCATCTGTGCGGGAAAGCAAGCAATTATTCTCGAGTTTCGGGTACAAATAACATTTTGCTCAAATGGCAAAGCAAAAAATTATTCTCGAGTTTCAGGTACAAATATTTTGTTCAGACAAACCACCTAATTTTAATTCGTGTGTTTTACTTCATTTTCAAAAAAAAAAAATTTAATATTTCCTTTTATGAAATACTATTTTTTTTTTATGATGAAGTGGTCACAAAAAGTTTTATTCTTACAATGAAATATATATTACTATTAAAAGCAAATATATACATTGTAAATTGCTATAATTGATTTCGGAAAAGAAAAATTACTTCATTTCGTTTTGCAAAATTTGGTAACTCATGGAGAAAACCAGGCATCAGTGTCAAAAAACAATTATTCCTGGTACAAATAACATTTTGTTCAGATAGACCGTCAAATTTTAATATAAAGAACGTTACTTATTTATATCCTTTTATGAAATATCAATCACTATTGATTGCAAATAAGTATTTATATATGCTACAATTGGTGGCAAAAACGAAAAATCCCTTTATTTCGTTTTGAAATTTTCGAAAAAATTTGATATCTCAAAAATTTTTTCTTTTAGTCCCTGAAGAGGTCCCTATAGCGCGAATTTAGAGAAAAGTAAATTCAGGTAAGTTTCAAGTGCCGAAATTTTTTTTCAAAATGCAAACAAATTATTGCAGGTTAACTTATCCATTGCGTTATCTTAAGTAATCTTGCCATAATTTGTATGCATTTTAATATTTTTTTTTTAAAAAATTAACTCATGAAATGCCATAATTTACTCTAAGTTTTTTTTTTTCGATACAAATTTTAAATTACTTTTGAGGAATCTGGCATGAAAAATTTCAGCGGCATAGCGTCCTCCATCTTAAAAACGTCCGCTTTTTTTCAATCCTTTTTTTAGCGTCTATTAATAATTTTCATTTAAATGTCTGGAAAAAATCGAACGAGTTTCAGAACTATAAAAACGTTTTAATTAGTAATAAAAATACTTTGTTTAAGAGATTACAAAACAGAAGCATCTCTGAAAGCGCTTTGCAACGTTTTGAAGAGATTAAAAAAAGTTTCTGAAACAGAAATAGGACGCTGAAATGATAACTTAAAGAATAAAAAAAAGGAAAAAAAGTGTTTTCATTACCCTTATTTTAGGATGCTAAAAATGTATATCCAAATCTAATATTTATTTCCTTATCAAATGTAACACACACTAGTTCCGGCTAAATCTTGCAACATAAATGTTTACATAAATGTATGCCTTCTGTCAATATGTCAATATTGTAAGGCGCAGCTAGAGGAAAGCAAAAATATTCCTTTAACACTCCAAAGTTCAGATGAAAAGTGCCATTTTATTTTAAACGACTCTATCTAAAAATATCGTTCACAATAAAAAAAAAAAAGTTACAGGAAAAATAATTTCCGGATATTTTGGATTAAACCTCATTCATCCAGCAAGATTTAAAGTGTCAATACATTCCATATATCGCGAAAGATTACTATCAATAAAAAAAAGGAGGTTACATTTGTCGATATTATGAATCAGTATTTGACGTTTCCAAGAATAGTTTTTCTACAACTACCTAACATTACGAAGCTATAAAATAATTGATTGAGTGAATGAGTCAATATTTTATTTATTTTATTACGTATATGAACAGAAAACTGAGATTGGCATATTTCGTTGTTTCATTTAACGAAATGAGTTGTTACTAAAAATAAAAAGTATATTTTTTTTAAAAATGGCTACCTCTCTATTTATGAGTTGAGATTATTAAAACTTTCTTAAAATATGAAAATATTTTTTTTAACACTACATTGTCCGAGGAAGTCATTTTGACTCATATTTAATTTCAATTAGAAAAACAGTGATGTATATCATGACACAATTTCTTAGAATTTTATGACTTTTTGTACAACATATAAATTTTTGAAGTTATACTTCTTATGCGACTTCCAACAAGGTTGCGTTAAACGTTACATTTTTATTGGTCTTTTCAAATTTAGTGGATTACAATTGTAAAAAATGAGTGAAAACAATCCCATGGACAATGCGACGGATTTAAGGTTATGTCAAGGTACGTCTCTTGTGAATATCAATTGATTGTTAGGTTTTCTCTTTTGAAATTACATGGGAGACGATGATGCAACAACAAGCACTTCCACTGGTTCAAGAGGTCCACGAGGGAAAAATTCACAATACATATTACCGTTATTACAGAGCACGGAAGCGAGCGGAGCAGAAAAAAGAGTCGTTGAATAGAACTAGTGATCCTTCTACGACTGCTGATTCTTCTACAATTAACGTCACAGGTTACGAAGTTAAACTTCCTCAACGCGGAGGGACTCCACGCACTATTTTTTTTTTACTGTTAATATTTACCAATAACTTGTTATATTACTGTAAATAATATAAAAAATATTAAAAATTAATTTTAAACAAAATTTCTTTACGCATTAGTTATTAGTTATTCTAGTCATTTTGACTTTGTTGGACAATATAGGTATACACTAAGTTGCAGTCTTTCTAGAGTTAATTATGTATAGGCATGTTATTAATTTATGTGAATATATTTCGTGTTTCAAAAGTTTTACTCATACAGAGTCGTAAAAATAGTGTTCTGTCTAAGAGGGATGAACAGAAGGATGGCCTACCCTACCCAAAGAATATATAAGTGAGTTACACTTATTATATATTCGTCGCCCTACCTGCCCTTTGGCTGAGGTAAATGCATCCTTCTTGCCTTTTTGTAAAAATGTTTTCATCATTTTTATTTAGAAAAAAAAGCTCTTTTTTATTTTAAGAAAAGAGATTGCAGTAGCAGAAACTAAGAACTTAAGATTATCATAACTAGTGGAAATTATTTTTAGGCTAAGTCAATATAAAATAATATTATTTCTCATTATTGTTTGAATNTATTTTTAACACTAGATTGCCCAAGGAAGTCATTTTGACTGCTTTTTAATTTCAATTAGAAAAACAGTGATGTATATAATGACACAATTTCTTAGAATTTCGTGACTTTTTGTACAACATATTTTTATTGTTAATATTTACTAATAACTTGTTATATAACAGTAAATAAAATAAAAAATATTAAAAATGAATTTTAAACAAACTTCTTTTTTCACATTAGTTATTCTTTCACAATCCTGTCATTTTGACTGCTTTGGGCAATATAGGTATATACTAAGTTTTGAGTTTTTCTAGAGTTAATTATGTATATACTAATTAGGTATATATATTATATTATTAATTGTATAATTGGTATATATAATATATTATTAATAGGTATATATTATTAATTTATGTGAATACATTTCGTGTTTCAAAAGTTTTACTCATACAGAGTTGTAAAAATAGTGTTCTGCCTAAGCGTTTTAAGAAGAATGGCCTACCCTCCCTGCCTTTTGACAGAGGTAAATGTATCCTCCTTGCCCCTTTTTTGTAAAAATGTTTTCACCCTTTTTATTTAGACAAAAATGCTCTTTTTTTATTTTAAGAAAAGAGATAGCAGTAGCAGAAATCAGAAACTTAAGATTATCATAACGAGTGGAAATTATTTTTAGGCTAAGTCAATATAAAATACTATTATTTCTCATTATTGTTTGAATATTTTTAACTCTGTTTTGAAGGGTACTATGGTTGGTATTAATTCAGTAGTAATACATTCTAAAATGTAATATTTAGCAACATTTTTCATTTCTGATTAAGAATATCATGGAATGCTTCTTGAGTTTGGGATTTTGTACCAGTACTCCTTAACTGCGGTGATTGCAATTAGAAAACATCACCAATTCAATTAAGTCATATATTCAAAATACATAACAAAAAAATTCTTAAAAAAAAAGCCGGAACGTAATTCAATTTAAGTTCATTTAAATTAAAGTAAACTTATGAATCATCTTCCTGCTCGTTATCAAAGTACATTCGGAGAAAACTTGCCATCTCATCGAAATATATTAATGCTGCAATTAAATTGCTATCAATGGAAAAAGAGAATAAAGAAGATGCAACGAAATACATAGGAATCCATTGTTTGCAGAAGCAAACTTTTAAAAAACTGTTTAATTTATCAACTCCAAGAAAAATGCTTCTTTTTAAAGTTTTCGAAGTTTTTTTTCCTCTAAGAACATAACCACCAATAATATAAAATTAATATTAGACTACGTAATGTTGAAAGTCGTATAACAAATCCATGGCCATTTATAATACCAGATTAAGAACAATTACTAACAGCGATATTAATATAATTTAATTTGCCATGTAAAAGTAAGTTCTTTCATTAAATTAGAAAATGGACGTTAACATGCAGTATAAAACAGATTTTTTTTCCCAACAGGAATAAGCATACGCATATGTAAATGAAAAAAGCACGTAAAGGTGAATAAATGGTAAATAGCGAAAGAAAATAGAACGTAAAAAAAAATCATGAAAATATAACAATTTGTTGATTATTTCACTGCAACAAATATTAAGAAAGAAAAAAACATGCATTTGCAAGATTTCTCTTTAAAATTATATTTTTTGTTGTCGGCTTAAGTAATTGAGTGGACATTTTTTGATGTCTTTCTTTTAACTTTTTTAATGTCTTTTTTTTTACTATTTTAATGTCTTTTTTTAAAATTCGTAGTTACAATACAAAAAGAACCGCTTAATTTTTGTAAAGTAATTTTTTAATGCACACATTAAAAAATATTACTATTAACAGATAAACAACAAATAAATTCCTTTGATTCG